AGTCTCCTCCTCCGAAGACAGCGTCAATCATCTTCTTCATTTCACTGTTCTTCACGTCGAAGCTTCGCGGCGGTTGCGTGTTCATCTGGTGACTCAGTCAGAGTCCGTTTCGCGCCTTCTCCCACTGGGAATCTCCACGTGGGTGGAGCAAGGACTGCTCTTTTCAACTACCTCTTCGCCAGGTTTCGTGTTTCTGATTCAAAGTCTTTCTCTTTTTTTTTTTCCGACCAGAGTTAAAAGTTGTAATTGATTCTGTTCAAGTCTTTCTCTTTTTCCGACCGAACAGAGTTAAGAGGTTTTAATTGATGATGATTTTTATAGGTCTAAAGGAGGGAAGTTTGTGCTGAGAATTGAGGATACGGATTTGGAGAGATCAACACGTGAATCTGAAGCTGCTGTTCTTCAGGATCTCTCGTGGTTAGGTCTTGATTGGGATGAAGGTCTTTACTTCCTCTTCTTCTTCTTCATGTGCTTGTGATTTAGATCAAATATCTAATGGATCACTCTGTTTTTTTTCTTCAAAATAGAGTAACTTTTGATTTTTACTCTAATAGTATTCTTCTATTTTAGATTAAAAAGTAGAATGATGAACAAAAAAAATAAATGAATTACTTTGGTGTAAACCATTTCTTCAAAATAGAGTAACACTTGATTTTTACTCTAAGAGTATTCTTCTATTTTAGGTTAAAAAGTAGAATGATGAACAAAAAAATAAATGAATTACTCTGGAGTAAATCCATTTCTTACTCAATTGTAAAATAAAAATAGAGTAATTCTTGATTATTAACTCTAATAGAACTCTATTTTAGATTAAAAAAATAGAATGATGAACAAAAAAATAAATGAATTACTCTATCTATGAAAAAGCAAATCCATGTTTGACTCTATTATAAAGTGAAAAAATGAAGTAGGGTTGAAGCTATTTTACTCCCAATTCTATTTTAGAGTGAAAAATAGAACGGCTGTAGATGCCATTAGAGGTTCATACAATGGTTGTGTAATTGAAATTGCAGGTCCTGGGGTTGGTGGAGACTTTGGTCCTTACAGACAATCTGAAAGGAATGCACTTTACAAACAATATGCAGAGAAGCTTTTAGAGTCTGGCCAAGTTTATCGATGCTTTTGCTCCAGTGAGGTTGTTATCTTCGCTTGTTGTTTGTTGTTGTCTCTGTAAGGTTTTGGACTATGTTGTTGACTTTTAGTGTTTATTGTAGGAGCTTGTGAAGATGAAGGAGATTGCAAAGCTGAAGCAGTTGCCTCCGGTGTATACTGGTAAATGGGCAACCGCTTCTGATGCTGAAGTAGAGCAAGAGTTAGAAAAGGGAACTCCTTTTACTTACCGGTTTCGTGTGCCTAAGGAAGGGTATTTGAAAATTAATGACTTGATTCGTGGTGAGGTACGTTTTTGTGTTTATTCTTAGTTAAAGGTTAGATAAGATAAAGCTGTTATCAACTTTTCTTATGTAGAAACGAGAAAGGTCTCTATATTGTTATTGAGAATGTTTGATAGTGTCTTGAAGGTATCTTGGAACTTGGATACTCTGGGAGATTTTGTGGTGATGAGGAGTAACGGCCAGCCTGTTTACAACTTTTGTGTTACGGTAGATGATGCTACCATGGCTATTTCACATGTCATAAGGTTACTACTCCGAATCCTTCTTATATTCTTTTCTCTTTCAAAACATATTTGAATGAGATCTTGATCAGAAACCTTAACTTTCATATCAGGGCTGAAGAACACTTACCTAATACATTAAGGCAGGCTCTAATTTACAAGGTAAACACTAGCTTATATGTGGTTTTTTCAATTGCTTTACGAAGACATGTGATCCTGAAGATAGGAAGAAGAATTTAATTTAGTGTTGTCTTATCAATGGCAGGCTCTGGAGTTTCCAATGCCACAGTTTGCACATGTTTCTCTAATTCTTGCTCCAGATAGAAGTAAACTATCAAAACGACATGGTGCAACTTCTGTAGGCCAGGTGTTTAAAGCTGTTATTGCCTTGACTACTCGCTGATTCATAGATTACTCAAAGTCTGATTCGTCATCTAACTTCTGTGTTACGTTTTATTAAACAGTACAGAGAGATGGGGTTTCTACCTCAGGGAATGGTTAATTACTTGGCACTCTTAGGTTGGGGAGACGGCACAGAAAATGAATTTTTCACACTCGAGCAACTTGGTAAGTCGTTCTTGTTGACTATAGCTTTACCTTTCATGATCATAATTTATGTCATCCTTCACTTTTCTGACTTGTTGGTTGCATGTTTGTTTTTGGTTTGCAGTTGAAAAGTTCTCCATTGAACGTGTCAACAAAAGTGGTGCCATTTTTGATTCTACAAAGTTAAGGTGATTATAGAACTAGTTTAGCTGTTTGATGTATATAAGCTTCTCTTTTTTTTTCTCTCTAATAAATAGCTTCAATGTTGCTTATCTATAAACTCGAAGATGGATGAATGGTCTACATCTGAAGGCACTTCCATCTGAAAAATTAACAAAACTTGTTGGTGAGCAATGGAAGAGCGCTGGTATCTTAACAGAATCTGAGGGGAGCTTTGTAGATGTATGTGGCCACGCTTTCTTCTGATCCTATTATGAAGAAATGGATTTAAGAACAAGAGATGTTTTACTAAGCAAGTTTGATGTTGTTGTTGAAGTACAGGAAGCTGTGGAGCTTCTCAAGGATGGGATTGATGTGGTGACGGATTCAGACAAAGTACTTTTAAATTTGCTTTCGTATCCTTTACACGCTACATTGGCTAGGTAACTATCAAAACCGTTTGAGCATCGTTCATTGCTTTGTTCCCTTTCAATAAACCCTTATGGATTTTGTTGCACCTGATGCAGTTCTGAAGCTAAGCCCGCCGTTGAAGACAAGCTTAATGAAGTAGCAGCCAGCCTCATAGCTGCTTATGATAGTGGTGAGATTCCAAGCGCTTTAGCAGAAGGACAAAGTGGTTGGCAGAAATGGGTGAAAGCCTTTGGTAAATCATTGAAACGCAAAGTAAGTCATCTCTCTGATCCATCTGCACTCTTTAAATGAACAAACCTTACAAGAGATTGTTCTTGGTTACAGGGGAAATCACTTTTCATGCCACTACGTGTGTTGCTAACGGGAAAACTCCACGGACCTGAGATGGCCACTAGTATTGTTCTAATTCACAAAGCTGGAAGTCCCGGTATTGTGGCTCCTCAGGCCGGGTTTGTGTCCATGGAGGAACGGTTTAAGATCCTTAAGGAGGTGGACTGGGAAGCTTTGAACAAAGGAGAGAGTGTTCCTCTTGAATCTACCGCCACAGCATCTACCTGAGAAAGTTTCTTAATCTGAGTTTAGTATTTCTCGTTCATTTGTAGAGTATTTTGTGCTTGATCAAGCCTTGCGTTTTTGCCTAAAGTTAGGAACAAACCAGAGAGCTTAAACATCTCAAAGCCAGTTTTAAAATTTTTGTTTTCACTTCTGATGTTTAATTTGTTTCCATTCTCTTAAGATAATCTTACAATGATGGAGTGATCTCTTTTAACACATTGTTCTTGATATGAAAGATAAGAGGAGAGGTGGGGACTGAAGTGAAGCCAACCACAAGCACTTTAAAGAGAATCTGAAAGACTAAAAACTTTGAAAACTTAGACCACTTCTATTGGAGGATTCTACAATTAGAATTATCCTATTAAGGTTAAAGAAATTAAAAAAAAAAAAGAAATTAAAAGAGAGTGAAAAAAGGTTCTAAAAACCCTTGTTTTAGAACCACTTTTAAACTTTTTTCATCCACATGTTATGCAACTAACATTTTAATGGTTTAAAAAATATCAAATTTAATTGTACAATTGAAATATAAATATTTTTAGAGCTTTGTGTAATAAGAAAAGATTTAGACTTTTGCCAATAGGACTGAAGGGAAATCTCACCTTATCCACACTCCAACCACAACCCCTTATTACATTAACGTCCACGTCATCATATCATCCTCTTTACTAAAATCTAATCTCTTCCTTCTTCAGTCCACCAATCAAACCCAAAAAAAAAAACTCTTAATGGCAGCCATGAACTCAAGTGTTCTCACCTGCAGCTACGCAATCTCTGGTGCTGGCTCAGTAGAGCTAAACCAGAAAGTGGGTTTGGTGAGTTCATCAGTTGGGTTTGGTCAGAAGAAACAGACGGTTCCTGTGATCAAAGCTCAAAGAGTTGGTGGTGATGATGTTGATGGGTCTAATGGAAGAAGATCAGCCATGGTGTTCTTAGCTGCTACACTCTTCTCCTCTGCTGCTGTGTCTGCTTCTGCTAATGCTAGCGTCTTTGATGAATACCTCGAGAAGAGCAAAGCCAACAAAGTAAACTCTTTAAACATTTTCTAAAAATCTTGTTGAGTTCTCTAAAAAAACCTTGTATGCAAAGTAATGGTTTTTATTGAAAATTTTATGATGATAGGAACTTAATGATAAGAAGAGATTGGCAACAAGTGGAGCAAACTTTGCGAGGGCATTCACTGTCCAATTCGGAAGCTGCAAGTTCCCTGAGAATTTCACTGGTTGCCAAGATCTTGCCAAGCAAAAGGTTCTTTCTCTAGGGGATAGAATAATCTTCTTGAAGAGATGATGATGCTTACTCTTCATGTTTTTTTTTTTTTTGTATTTGCAGAAAGTCCCATTCATCTCAGAAGATTTGGCATTGGAATGTGAAGGCAAAGACAAGTTCAAGTGTGGTTCCAATGTTTTCTGGAAATGGTGAATAAGTCTTGTTTGTTGTTATCCATTCTTATATAAAAAACCAACAATGTATCTCCCCTTTATTCATCAAAGTTTTCATGCCCATTTGAATCTATCAAGTTAACCTCTAATTATGGATCATGAAAGATATTTTTATCCCACACATAGATAGATCACTTTGGATGAGAATCGAGTAAAAGTTAATTGGGTAGATACTCGAATGTAATCTAACATTAACAAAACAAGAACCTCAACGAAAGTTCTGCATCTTCAAGACGAGAAACAAAGTAAACGACTCAACTCAGACTTAAAACGCTAAAAATGGGAAGAATAACCTAAAAGACGACAAAAAGGAAGATAATAACGAGTTAATAAGTGTGTGTGTGTGTGTGTGTGTGTTTACGTACAAGAAGAGTGGGGGTCTCAGACTAAGTATGTTCTCTCAAGCGGCGATGGCATAAGTGAGAGTTTGTACATCTTTGGGTCGCCAAATTGACTTTTGAACAGAAAGCAAACCTTCTTTGCCTTTAGAGTAAGTCATATGAACTTCCCATTTCATTGCTTTCACCATTGCTTCCACTTCTTGTATTGTTTTTGCATCGTCTCGGACTAATAGTTTCCCTTCTGGTCTCAGAACCCGATCCACTTCTGCAATAACCGCCGTTAAATTGCACCTGTAAAAAGTACAAATAAAGGGAGAGATTGCTTAGTTAGTTATTCATAAATATAGACTCTGTTTCTTACACAACAGACCTTTGTTTGAGTTTGGAGAAAAGATGGTCGGCGTGGAGAAGATCGTATGATCTTGGGTAAGTACTGAAAGATTCACACCAATCGTGGTAGATACCAAAGAATCCACGTTCATAGATTATTGCTAGTGTGTCTGGTGAATCTATTGGAACAACATTCATCACCCACACTTTCAAGTCTCTTAGAGCCGCTGCAAATCTGCAAAAAGAACCCAAACCACACAAACATTGAAGATGTCATGAAGACTTATGTGCTCAGTTCTAATGAAAAACATTATGTTTTGTTTTACTTACCCTCCATAAACGGCTTTCATGTCCATGACATTTCTAACAGATGCCCAGTTAATTCCTAAACCATTAAGGTATGATTTGGTCACTACGCGTTTCCAGTGCTCATAATCAGCGGTGAAATCATCTGGTGCTGCTTTTCCATAAACTCCGGTTTGGGAACTTGATAACCAGAACGGTGGTTTCTCTAATCTCGCTGGCCATTGCTCGGGCCATTTAGATCCACGCTGCGTTGTGTCTTCTGGTGCTGTGTGCATGCATGCTTCAAGTGGCACCTTCCTGTAAAAACACACACCCAATAAACATGTATATGAGAAAACGTATATAGGTTAATGTTTTTTAGTACGGTAACAAATAGTATAAAATAAAGGCATACCAAGATGCATTTGGGTCATCAGAGTCCGCACAAATTGGAGGTTGTTGTTCTGATCTGCTTTTGTAGCATTCATTTGAAGTAGGCTTTCTGTAAGTAGCTACACCGACCCCGTTGATTTTGTCCTTGTTGATGGAGATGAGTTCCCAACACATTTTCTTAGTGAGTTCAGTCATAGCTGCAAAATTCGTCAACATGAGGTAGGTGTGAGAAAACATGTTCCAGAGAAATTATATATGGAGGATAGATTGTATTTACAACCTGTCCAAATTTCAACATCTTCGGCTTTCTTCTGATAAACAGGAGTAGCAGACCACACAAAGAAGCCACCAGGTCTCAATACACGATTAAGTTCCAAAAGGAGTTTTCCACCTGTCCATGTATAGTGTACACAAACATCAGAAAGGTAACAAAGACTTGACGGATTCACTAACAACAGATGGTTAGATCAAAGGAGTTTTCCATGTAAGGCGGTTATGCAACTTACCTTCTATGTGCCATGGCACTCTACAGCGAGCACAGTGAACAATGTCAAAAACTCTGCCAGGGAAAGGTAGCCTTGTAGTGCCCATCACTGCAGAGATGGCTGGAATGCCTCTCTCAAGAGCAAATTGCACTTGAGCTTCATGTTCATCTTTAGGTGCGAGGGACATGGTGATCACGTCTCTGTCAAAGAGGAAACCTCCAAAGCTTGCAACACCACATCCAACATCCAAGACCACACGAGAGCGTTTACCCCAAGAAATATCAGGGACAGACTGTACAGCAGATTTAACAAATATTACCCCGTAAGCAATCAAAGTAACATTTTCTAACACAATAAAGGAGTAAAAACAACTAGATGCATATAAGAAAAAATGGTTAACAATATTATATTTATAGTAGTAGTCCAATTCAGACGTTCTAACAAAAAAAAAATTACATCTGAATACCAACCTCCTGTATGAAATCGATGTAATGAAGAGCACCATGCTTGAATTGGGTTCCTCCTCCAGGGAAAGTTAGAAACTCACCGGTAACTTTAACCCAGTTTTGATGCCCCTTATACTCAGCAAGCTTGGTATGAGGGACGTTAGTGTACCAAATCTGCATAAACTTGTATTAGTTTTTTTTACAGATATATATATATATATATATATATATATATTTATAAATAAAAATGATAGAGTGAACAAAGTCAGCAGACCTTTTCTCGACTTTTAGGCCACTCAATTGGCCGCTTATATCCATCAGGCAAAGGAACAAGGCAGGTGGGTGGGCTGTCTGGGCAATGCCTCTCACGGTGCTCATAATGTTTAGTAGTCTTAAGACTCTTAATGGCTTGCACATTATCCAGACAGGGAATGTAATCCGGTCCAGCAGTTGTATTGCAGAGTGTCCATTTGAAATCAACTTGGTCACCAGAACCCTTCTGAGCTTCCTTCTCATTTTTGGACTCTGTTGCCTGTGTTGAAAATGAACCATTTTGTGCGGTAGTTTCGTTCAGTAGCTCTAACTGTGCCCCAGGAGGCGAGAGTTCACTCGAGGTCTCGTTTTTAGGCTGACTCTCTTGCTCTACAGTTGTCTCGGTCTGTGTTTTAGCACCTTCATTGCCTGTGGTGGTTTCTTTACCAACTTTTGCCTCTGTATCATCGTCACTGGACTGTTTCTCACTTTCATCAGCTGCAGATATCTTTTGGTTTTCACCCTTCTCACTGGACTCGTTGTCCTCCGGTTTGGTTTGCTTATCATTCGAGTCAGAATTTTCTTCATCTGGCTCGTCTTTCAAATCTTTTTTCTCACCCAAATCACCGGACTCATTGTCCTCCGTTTCGGGTTTGGTTTGCTTATCTTTCGAGTCAGAATTTTCTTCATCTGGGTTGTCTTTGAAGTCTTTTTTCTCACCCAAATCACTTCCCTCACCATTCCCTGACTTGGAGTCATCTTTTTTATTTTCCCCACCTTCTGTCTCGCTCTTTGTCTCACCAGATGAAGTAGACCCTTCTTTGGTGCTTTCTTCTTTCTTCTCTTCTTTGTCCTCTTGCTTACTCGAGCTCTCATCACTAGATGAAGCAGACTCTTCTTTAGTTTTCTCTTCTTTGTCCTCTTGTTTACTCGAGCTCTCATCACTAGATGAAGCAGACTCTTCTTTAGTTTTCTCTTCTTTGTCCTCTTGTTTACTCGAGCTCTCATCACTGGATGAAGCAGACTCTTCTTTATTTTTCTCTTCTTTTTCCTCTTGTTTACTCAAGCTCTCATCACTAGATGAAGTAGGCTCTTCTTTAGTTTTCTCTTCTTTGTCCTCTTGTGCTTTAGTTTTCTCCTCTTTGTCCTCTTGTTTGCTCGAGCTCTCATCACTAGATGAAGCAGACTCTTCTTCCTTTTTCTCTTCTTTGTCCTCTTGTTTGCTCGTGCTCTCATCACTAGATGAAGCAGACTCTTCTTTGTCTTTGCTCGAGCTCTCATCATCACCAGATGAACTAGTCTCTTTTTTCTCTTCCTGGTTCTCTTGTTTGCTAGAGCTCTCATCTCCTTCAGGCAAACTTCCATCACCATCTCCTTTCTTCTCCTCATCAGGTCTTTCACCAACTAACTCTTCAGACTTCAGGCCATTCCCCTCCTCCACAGGTGGAATCATCTGTTTCTTAATCCCATCTTTGTTATCAAGAGAAACCTCATCAACATTCTCACCAGGTCCAACAGAGGATGATGACGTCATCATCCAGATCCCAACTAAGCATAGCGCCACAAACACAACAACCATCACCGTTGAGCAGTAATTCGACGAAGGCCTCCTGTTATTATCTAACCTAGTGTACCTTGCTTGTGCCATGATTCCAATAAACAATAGACTAATAACAAAAACGTGTATAAACGCCTACACAAATAAATAAAAAACAAGGAAAACACATGTTAGTCAAATAAATCAAAATCATAATCCTGAGATGAGAGATAGCTACACAGGATTGTAAAACAACTTCAGATACTATATTCAGGGTTGATTCTGAGAATTATGGGGGTATAAGTCTGATTTCACTTAAACTTGTTTTTTTTTACCGATTTGGGAACCTAAAATTTTTTTTGGGGACTTCTGTATACATGTAAATTTAAAAAAAAAAAATTTGGAGACCAAAGCCAATGTTTTATCCGGTTTTGCGCAAGGCCAGCCCTGACTATATTATTCTTATTTCTTCCACATGCATAAATCAACTAATAGAAATGTCACCAGATCAGCTTAAACTCTCACGATTACAATTCAAAAACATATACATACGAAACAACGACGAGATTAATCGCAACGGCCACATGAAACTTCAAAAAAAAAAACAACACTCAAAAAAGTTACTCCGGCGAAACGACGTCGCATAGATCAACTTCAACAACAAGAAGAAACCTATAAGCATAATAAAGATTTTAAAAAATAACAGATCTGCAACAGATCTCAGTAGAATAACGATTGTTCTACATAATCGAGATCATCATTATGAAAATAACACAGCGAAAATATGAGGAATGTGTCAGTTACAAAAAAAAAAAACATTAGGAATGTGTATAAAGCGAACCTGATACAGGCGAGAAGGAATGTGAGGGGAATCTGAATCTCAGTGTTTCAGGTACGGAGCCATTTTTTCCGTCAGTTTCTCGGGAAAATTCGATATGTGTGTTTGGGGAGAGGTTTTTGAGATTGCGAGGGGAGAAATGTTTGTATATATATATAGAAGAGAGAGAGTGGTTTGATTATGTATTTTGGTTTAAAAGTATTTATTATTGTTTTAGATTTAAATTTGGAGGGAAAATACTTATTTTAGAAAATGTTTGACGGTGATTTAGTAGCGGAGAGCAGAGAGGGAACTACGGAGCTGCCGTTAATCTAGTGGTTGAAAATCTATTACTTGTTTTTAGATTATTTTAGTTAAGTTTAGTCAATTGCTTAGGACCTTGACCATATTGTATCTTTTTTTGGGGTATTATTCATCATATGATATATATAACCTAGCAAGTTTTAGCTTGTTTTTAGCTAAAAGCAAAATCCACTCTTTTATAGCTTTACTCCTTCTTACATTTAATTTCCAACTTTTTTATTTTAAAACTAATTTCCAACTGTTTCTTCATGGTCACGTCTTGTGTAGATTAATAAAGTTCAACTAGGTGTTTTGCCCGCACATGCGGGCATAATTTTCGTACAATTTATTATTAGTCTATATTTTATTAATTAAAACCAATATAATAAGTTATGATTTATGTTTTAAAATTAATTATAAATGACAACACTCACATAACAAAATATTTTTAAAAATATATTTTTACAAATGTGTTGCTTAAATTTATTTTAATTATATTTTTTTCTATCTTAATTTTTTTATTTCTATAATAAAAATATATTTTCAAGATAACAATAATACATAAGAAATATCTTATTTTCTCAAAATATAATTTTTGATAAAAATTCATTTTTATTTTACTGATTGATTTGTAACTTCTCCATGATTTTTGTAATTCTTCTTATTTGTTATATTTTTTAATAATTTTATGAATAATTTATCATATAATAAAACGAATTTCTATTAATAATATTATACTTTAGAAAATAAGATACTTCTTATTAGATTGTTATCTTGAACATATATTTTCTATTAGAAAATTTATGTGAATTATCTGATTTGTAATTTCTCCATGATTTAAATAATTTTGATTATTTGTCATATTTTTAATAATTTTACTATAAAAATTCGTTTTTATTAAATAATAAATTGTATATGAAATATGAAATTATTTAAATAAGGTAAATAAACAAATTTACCTAAAATCAAGGAGAAGTTGACAACTAAGCAAATTTACTTCTTATATAATAGTATAGATTTTTAAATTAACAAAAATAAGTTACAGCTACGTTATTTGAACAATTATAGATGAAAATAATTTAGGTGAAATACAATCTATCCAACAATTTAACATTAATCTAAATTTGATAGTTTTTTTTTTTGACTGATCTAAATTTGATAGTTTAAAATGAGTGTTTGTTTATCCTTGTACGAGAACTATTGCTATATGTTGTACTAATTTTCATATGACATATATAAATTATACTACCAAGTTTCAGTTAATAATATGTTACATTATTGCTTTTATTTAAGTGAGGGTTAAATCATTTGGATTACCAGATATGATCATTTTGGCCGTGAAAAAAAAGAGTGAAGTAAAGTTTAATCTTTAGTGTTTCCTAGGGGATTTTAAGACCTTTTTGTGGTCTTAAGGAACAGATTGGCTTTCAAAAGCAAATTGTGATTCAATTTTTATTGTAACCAAACCTTCATTCATGCCTTCATGGAATGACATTTACAATTTAGCTAGAAAAAGAGTGGAGTAAAGATTAAGGAGTCGAAGGACCAATAAACTCTAGAGACTGATCCCTTTGAGCTCACACAAATGATGTCAAACTTATTTATCGAGATCCCTACAGTTTCTCTTAATCGCAGAGATCCAAATGTTCACGTCTTTGCGTGTTCATAACTTATTACTTTATTAGTCCATGCAGGGCATGAGCTCTGTGTTTACTCATCTTTGATGCACTTTCGTCACCTACTAATTAAAAACGACATTTAATCTAAAACCTAACTTTATGATCTAAGTTAAATTCAGATAAGTTATTAGCGGATCAAATTATTGACAATATTTTGAGTTTGAATATTTTGATACTCTGTATTTTTAATACGAGTGTTGCCGGCTCTCGTGATCTTAAACCAGCCTGCCACTTTAAGAATATGGACAATGAATGTCGCCATGTCGATGTCTCCTAATGTTTCCAACATGTCAAAGTAGTGCACCATAAGGGATGACATTGCCCACGGCTCAAGCTTTGTTTTTCTTTTTCTAGCGTTTTGACTTTAGCAGTTGAGAGGTGATGAATTTTAGTTTCGTATGACCTGTTTATATATATTTTTAATATAACCCCAAAACACTTTCCATAGAAAGAGCTTATAGATAGATTAGCGGTGCATGAACAGGTAATAACTTTATTTGCAACATCTATAGTTTTGACTTTTGAGAACAACGTCAGATTCCCAAGCTCATAACTTTGTTATTTTTTGTTAGTATAAACATTGGCAACATTTGAAATAACCAAGTAAAGGGTGAATAGCTATTTACTTAAGATTTAGCTTGAAAAATGTAAATAAAAGATATGGTTCGGGATTTTCCAAAAATAAAGTTATTAGTAATTGGAACTACTAGCTCATGTATTTTAGCTGCTTTGAGTTTTTTTTTATTATAAAACTGTAGCCCGGATTTTTTGTATATATACAATTATATTATTTATCATTTGTATTTGAATAAATATATAAATTATACATATTTAGTTTGATTATAGATAGAAAACTATTAAAAAAAAAATTTGAACTGATTTTACTCTGTATTGTTTAATTTAACAGTGAATAAATTTTATTATCTTTGTAATATTAATATATATATATATATATATATATATTATATATATATATATATAAATAATGGTGAAGAGAATGAATAAATAATTAATATAGTCGTAATTGTGATTCAGTTTTTCGTTTATGATGTTTGTTTGGGTTTTTATGAATTACTTTAAATTTAAAAAATAATTAAAAAAAAATAAAATCAGCTAATATCTATTTTTTACTAACAATCAAATGAAGGATTCTCTGAATCATGAGTTACTAACACTGTGAAAACCTCAGACTAATTCTATATGTATATTTTATTATTTTGTTTTAAATTGTTTTTTTATGGAAAAGTGAGTATATTTTGTTCCAATAAAAGTGATTCTGTTTTCAGATTATATGCTTATTTAAAATGACTTGCAGGATTGAATGTTTAAATTTGGTTGATAAAAATATCTGATAAGGAAAAAGCATAAAAGGATTATATATAAAAAAAACATTGTTTTAAATAATTGTAAATTTTTGTCTTAATTAATTGATTCCCGAATAAAATATTGACTGATACAATTGGTTTTATTAGGAGTTTAATTATTAGCTTCATACCGTTATATATTGCCAACCTATTATTTTTTTCTTGATAAAGGTCAATCCCACTTGTGAAAATTTAAATCCAACAGTGTTTTATGCCAATAGCATTTGACGGTAATTTTTTTGGAAAAGGTTATTTTGAATTTGTACTTGTGTTTTAATAGTTTAGATATTAAATTTCAAATTTAAAAAATGTAAAAAACACATGATGTAAATGTTACATCTAAATTATATTTGTTTTGTTCTTACTAAAATAGACTAAAATTTTAACTTAACATTAACCATGTATGTTTTTGTCATTTTTAACAAATGGTGCTATCGACTAAACAAAAGTAAATTTTTTTTAGATATCTTATCTATTAAAACAGGATTACACAATCTTTTTTAATTTGTGATTTTTAATTGAACCATACATTAGACTTTTCCTTAAGGATTGTTTTTATTAAACTAGTTTTACTCACATCTGTAATAAATTGTGACCAGCTAAAATATAATTCATGTTTTGATTTGCAATAATTAACACAGCATTTCAAATATCAATTAAATTTTAGTTATACCAAACTGGAATATAATCACCCATGCGTATATGACAAAAATACTTTCTATTGACCAAATTCTAAGCTTTCCATCCAAAGTAATTCAAGTACATCCAAAACAATTCACAAACTAATGATAATTATTATTTCAACATATATGTTGTATTTGTAAATTGCTTCTCAAATAATCGCATCTAATCTGTATTTGGTATTCCACATGTTCGACTAGTATACAATTTTGAACTACATCCACGATCCATTTATAATCACGCTGTTTGTTACTATAGAACCTAAATTGAAATATGTTGTAGCATTTGTAATTTTGTTTTTGTTTTATATTATTTGTATACAACTATTATATAGAGTAATAATAATTCATACTAATATTCTGAATTTTGAAACTATGTAATATACATTGATGAAGAAAATAATTGCACCAAAATATAAATGAAATTGAATTATACTATCTAACTATTTAAATTATAAACCGAATCTTTAGAAAATGTACATCAAGAAAATTTACCATAATATATTTCTTATACCAAATCTAAACAATTAAACCAATATAGTAGGTTTTGGTTTTAGATAGTTAAATATTAGTATTTTTTTTTAATTTTTATTGTGTTTTTGATTTCAAATTTTGGTTTTAGTTTTGGTTTCTATATTTACAGTTTGGTTTTAAAACAAAAGGAGAGAAAATAAGTTTAACTTATGCACGTTACATAGAATAGAATATGAAAGTTTCTAAACACAAATACAATAGGCATAAATCGTATTTGTTGGGCTCATGTTTTATTCATATTAGGAAGAATTAAATAAAATGGTTATATAGGTTTTCTTAAATCCTTCATGTAGGTTCTCGCGATAACTTATGCTTTGTCACACCAATTTGAACATACTTCTTTGGTCGGAAAACATTTCTTGGGGACACAACAAAAGCAAGTCTTATTTTTGTTTTTGGCGCATGGGGTTGGGTTGCATTTTCCTTTAGCTGCATTGCCTGCTTGAAGACCTTGGCCATCGACAACAATATAAACAAAAAAGTAACAACAATATCATTTGGAGGAAAAAATAATTATCGAAGATATTATGATAGAATTACAGTAGTGAACAAGATAGATGATGAACAAAATAAAATTATTATAAATACATACATTCATGAAGAGGAAATAAAGCAATCAAGAAGATGCAAAAGACAGCGAACTTTAATGACGACATATTTGTTCTTTGTGATATTCTTACGATGCACTCGTTTATTATTAATTCTTTTGAATTTAAACTTGTTGGTTTGGTGGTTAGCTTCTTTTACGATTGATTAATTTATAGATGGAAGTATTACATGTCTTGCATGGCGATCCATAAAAAAATGATTAGATTTGTTTGACTCGTTTTGTGGTAATTTTATTGATGATGTTTATAGAAACAGTCAAACTATTGTATGGTAACGAAAAAATCTATCTATAATAATAAAATTAGGTTTATTTTTCCATCTTGGGGCGTTTTAGGACACATGTCCTCCTATTTTCTGTGTTCTAAAGATGTCGTCACGTTGGAAGTTTACTGCCTTTACTCACCTCACAAGCCATTTACTTACATGCATAAGTTTATTGCTGCTTGAATGAATTTGATGTCTTGATCCAATCATGCATAAGCAAATGTTCTTACTGAGTTGTTGATTTTTTTAAGGAGGAGTGTCAAGTGTGGAAGCGTTTATAGTTGTGTAACCCTCTTCACTTTGCTCTCGTCTTGGACCAGTGGGTGTGGTGGTTTTTGTTTCTGAATGTAAGCTTTCTTTCAAACTTGAATTATGATCACAAGTTGTGAGTGAAACATGCTGGCAAAGTTTTAGACTGCTTTTTAGGTTGGCTTTTGCCTTAATTTTGGCTCGAGTTTGTTATAGGGTTTTGCTTTTATGTTTGGACTGCAGAAGTAAATTTCGAAACCATAGTGGTGAAGTTGCTCATGCCAAGGCTGTAGCCAAATCTTTTGGAAAACCATGTTCCAAAAGCAAGTACAGTTCTAAACACTATAAATTGACTCATCTGATTGTCACTGTTCTCTCATTTATCACTGCCAACTGATTGATTGTTCTCTGTACCAGCAAGCATTACATTACATTAATTGCACGCATTTGCAGACTCAATAGTTTGCCTAATTAGATGTATCTGACAGAAAATTACTCTATTCGAAATATGGTATGAAAACCATAAAGATCAAAGATTATTTACTCAAGAAGATAGGCTTGAGTTTTTTGCTAACCTCCCAACCTCATCCTGCAATACTTTGATCAAGTGTGGTGACTTGCGTGAGAAGCTACCTCAGAAGAAGATTGATAAACTGTTTAGGCTTAACATGAGGCTTAAACTAAAATTTGGTGGTTGGCTAGAGTTTTAAGAGTGTTTTTTTATTTATCGGTTTAAAATAGAAAAAATGAACCACAAAAACACTCTATGTCGAGAAGAATGACGAGAAACAGTTGGATCGATATTTCAATGATCATTGGTCTCATTTTTGCCATCATCTCTTGATCATTTTATTTAGACTTTCTCACTAATATACTCAGTTAATGACAACTATTTTGTGCGTTCATTATTTTAATAAATTATTACTGTTTCCCTCCCAGATAGTCTGGCACTTCTCATAAATTGCATGTTGCGATTGAATGTGAGATGTGTCCGCCAGCTATTTTTGAGAGTGACACTGACGATGACCCTTCGCTTATAAAGTAAAACCTAATTTCACTAGTAAAATATTAGCCACAAGGGAGTTACTTGACCCAATGATTGCAAGTCCAACACGAGAATAGACAGTGTGTGATACAGCATATTTCATGTCTAACTGAAATATGTTAGTAGGAGCAAAGACTTCACTTACAGTTGCGTGGGAGCACATGAAATCATGAGATTTGTGATAGTAGCAGTACGAGTCGTCAACCAATAACCTATACAATTAGACATCTATGGATATGATGCCTAGGTCTTGGAGGTAGAGTCACTAAGGAATGATTTTACTACACATCTAGCCACCAAAACGATTTTTTTTTTTTTGAGAAAAGCAATGGGTCAACCTAAGTCTGTAGCTATTTCTCAGCTGAGTAGCTGTCACAGACGAGATTCTACTATCTTCATTCTGCAAATTCAACTATGTTCTTTCGCTTAGTTGTATGGTTTGGAAACACATGTTGGGCCTCTTGTGTGTTTGTCTCTCCAACTCACAGACCTCCATATTTTATTACCAGGCGATTAATACACAACTCAAATTCTAAGAAAGTGATAGAATCTAGAGACAAAATGGAGTAATACCCTGCTCCAAAACATGTATCCCAAGAGATTTGTAACACGCCTGTCCAGTCAAGACAGTGATCGAAATCAGAGACAAAATGGGGTAACATCCAGCACCAAAACGAGTATTTATCATTTTGAGCCTTTTCTTTTTTGTTGTTGTTGCTGAGTGACATACCATTTTGTTCATGTTACACCATGAGTCTTACCTTTGATCCAGTATCCTATGTGACACACTTTTCAACCTATGTAACACTCATCCCCTTATGTGTTTCCTCATTTAATCCAGACAGTGATCAATGCTCAGATGTGGAATAGGATGATATCCCAGTCTAAGATGAGTGCTCTTCACCAGTGAATTAGACAAGCGAGATAACATGAGTCAAATAATAGAACTTACACAGCAGAACTTGTTGACTTAAGGTGTTAGTGAGGAGGTAGCATTGAATCATGGAGTCGAGCGTTTGTACAGTGACTCTTTCCCCTTTATCAGGACTTACTCAGAGTTCATGATTCCCAACGACTTCCTAAAACCTAGAAAAATGTTGTAATCTAGTGGTTTGGTAAAGATATTCCCAAGTTGTTTCTCTGTTGGTAAATGCAGTAATTCACAATCCTTGTTTCCACTAATTCTCGTACAAAGTGGTGCTTTATATCAAGTGTTTGGTACATAAATGCTGTATTGGATTCAGAAAGATTTATAACATTCATATTATCGCAATCGTTCGAGGTTTCCAAAACCAAAGTTGTTAGTAATTAAAGAAAAAAAATTTACTAGTTTATATATTTTAGCTGATTTGATTATTTTTAATAAAATTTGTATAAAGTAATGAACAAGATATAACAAAACAGATTTTAATCAGTGTTAAGAATTTTATAACTTATTTCTCGATTTATATTTTGTATGTCAAAAATATAAGTTATATATATATATATATTACTAAAAACATTATAAAATCAATTTTTAATAAATACATATAATTAAATAACATGTGATGTTTAGAAATCAATGAATAGCAAATACTCGTTGACAAAAAAAAAAAGCAAATACTCTTTGCAGAAATAAAATAATGATCAATTTAATATCCAGTAATTAACCTCTTGATAAATAAATTAATCATCCATAACTTAACAGTAGCTTGCGTTTTTATGAGAAGAGTTTAGTAGAAACATAAAAGAAGTTGAATCACCAAATCTTAATTGCGCCCAAAATAGTTAAAGAAGGCACAAACAACACACATCAATCTTACAAATTGGATAATTGTTTATTGAGTGAGTGATCCAGTCTTCACTCAGAGCGCGTGGTTTCGTAAATTGCTCGCTCTCCAGATCTACATACTTCTCTGGAAGATCCAATCATCAACCCGTTTACCCGGTAAAGAGATCCTATATCACCTTCTCCCCTAGAATTCACAAATTCACGAGCTTTTGTTGTTATTTCACATTATCATCTCAATTGTCAGAATTAGAGACATAGATACGAGAACCCATTTGATCAATTGTCAAAAAGATTAAACCTTTTTTTTGTTCTGTTTTGCTTTTTTGAATGATTCAATCACAGGTCTCTTCAAGGACATATCTTTGTTAATGTTCTCTCTAGCATTCAATTTAACAATTTTTTTTTTTTGTGTGGTAACCGTAGGGAATCCCAGGCGGTAAGCCCAGACTAATCCCCACAAGACCTTCCATCCGGGTACGCACGGTTATAGGCAGAAAGGGGGCCAAGGCGACTCGAACCCAGGACGGGCACTCCAGCTGGAGTTCCATTACCACTAGGCCAAGAGCTCTTGGTTTCAATTTAACATGTTTGGTGGGAGAAGTTACATACTCAGAGGCAGTGTTTCACTTGCCTTAGTCATCCTCATCCTATTCATGATAACCCTCCTTGTCTCCGAGGATAACCCTCTTCATACTTCTCTCTTTGATGTTAAACTTTACTTCACAGCTTCTTCTTCAGGTATGCTCTTCTCTTCCATCTCTTCTCTGTTTCAGTAAGATAAAAGTCTGATCTTTTTGAAACTCTAGTTATTACAATGTTGGTTTCTTGTTTTTAGTTTGTAACTTTGCAAAAGGGAAATGGGTTAAAGACAAGAACAGACCATTGTATTCTGGTTTTGAATGTAAACAGTGGTTGTCAACCATGTGGTCATGTAGAGTAATGGGCAGGCCAGACTTCTCTTTTGAGGGTTACCGGTGGCAACCACAAGGTTGCAACGTGCCACAGTTTGACAGATTCACCTTCTTGAATAGGTATGTATAGATTTCTTTTTTCTCCAACTTTGCTCTTAGATTTGCAAATACAGTCAAAGTTTCTGAGCATTCTTCAAGTGGTTTTTGATTAATAAAGTTTCTTGAACCATGACTAATTCATGAGAAATTGTTTGAAATACCATAAGTTATATACCAATTTTCAAAAATAACTTCAATCAAAAATATTCTAACATTGATTTAGGTATAAGATTTACTGATTAATGTTTAGTATTTAGGAGGTGAAGTTGGGTATGTAAACTTCTATAAATGATTGCTAAACATTTATAAATGATTTAGGACTAGTTTTAGACTTTTAGTCTTTTTGCATCACAAAGTTAAGGTATCTCTGAAAATAGTTATCATTTTAAGATAAATATGAAGAGTGGTATCAAGTTTGTGGTAAAATTAGAATTCCCCATGATTCATTCACAAGGCCTCTTCTTATGTAATGTGATGTATATAGATATTGTTTGTTTTGTATGAATATGTTGTAATAGAGCAAGTATTTTTAAACGTTTATCACATTGCTTACTGCAGTTTATATCTTTTCTAGAATGCAGAACAAGACGATAGCATTTATAGGAGACTCATTGGGACGGCAACAGTTTCAGTCTCTAATGTGCATGGCCACTGGTGGTGAAGAGAGCCCAGAGGTTCAAAACGTGGGATGGGAGTATGGTCTAGTGAAACCCAAAGGAGCCATTCGTCCTGATGGTTGGGCTTATCGGTTCCCAACCACAAACACAACCATCTTATACTACTGGTCAGCTAGTTTATCAGATTTAGTACCCATGAACAACACTGATCCCCCTCAAAATATAGCAATGCATCTTGACCGTCCACCAGCGTTCATGAGAAACTACCTCCACCGTTTCGATGTGTTGATTCTAAACACTGGTCACCATTGGAACAGAGGGAAGATAGAAGGAAACCATTGGGTGATGCACGTAAACGGCACACAAGTCGAAGGAGAGTTTCTCAAAGATATCAAATACGCTAAAGATTTCACAATACGCAGCGTTGTGAAGTGGCTAGACGCAGAGCTTCCACTGCATCCAGGTTTAAGAGCTTTCTTTAGGACGATATCTCCGAGGCATTTTAGAAATGGAGATTGGAACACAGGTGGGAACTGTAATAACACGGTTCCTTTGTCTAGAGGAAGTGAGATCACAGGGGAGGGTGATGGATCGGTTGATACGACGGTGGAGAGTGCTGTGAATGGGACAAGGATCAAGATTCTTGACATAACTGCATTGTCTGAGCTGAGAGATGAAGCTCATATCTCAGGGTCTAAACTCAAACCTAGAAAACCTAAAAAGGCTGTGAGTAACGTGACGTCCACGGCTCCTATTGTCAACGATTGCTTGCATTGGTGCTTACCTGGGGTTCCAGATACTTGGAATGAACTATTCATTGCTCAGATTTAAAGTACTCAACACCATTCATTATACACAGTGTAGTTCAGTGTATTGGCTCTGTTATAGAAAATTTTTGTTTCTTTTTTTACATTCTTTCTAGAAGAAAAACAAAGGCTACAGCTTGTCATACAAATAGCCTTACACAGGCAGCGTTTGCTGCAGTTGAGAACGAATCACGTTTGATAGTTTTGCACTCAACTGTTGTTATACATAAGGTGTAACTGGGAATGCATTTTTTTGGAATAAAAACCTTCTGAATGATTAATTGCTGTGTATTCCAAAAACTATTCACCAGTTACAAGAGAAAAATGGAAAGATCATTCCATTTTATTCCATAACATTCCAAATGATTCCAAAGAAAAAATTAACTTTTATTTGAAAAAACATTCCAAATCAAAAACGTTCGGGAACAAGTGGAATGCTGATTTCATTCCATTCCATTCAGTTCCGCAAATCATAATTCCTTCAATTCCATATATTCCTATTATTTGTTACCAGTTATGCCCATAGTTTTGCACGCGAATCGTTACTAGCTCTCAGTTTAAACTGTTTTAAATCGGTTAGAATTGATTTAAATTGATCTAAACATGTTTTTTTTTTGTGAAACTAAACATGTTTAATCAAGCAATAATGTGATTTAAACAGGTTTTATGAAACAATAATGCTAATACAAATCTATAATTTATCTAATTTTTGGTATAACTAATTGTTATAATTTAACATAACAATTTCATGACAAAAAGTTAAAATATCAAATAAAAATGTAAAATATAAAAAGTATGTTATTATTTTTTAACGACACTCGATAGTTTATACAAAGCGTCGGGTTACTGTCAAACGTATTTTTGAAAATTGGTTATATGACTGAAATGGAACTTAATTATTTAATGATAATGGCTATATAAAAAAAAATAGGTAATGGTTAACATCCGGTTAAAATATTGAATCAATCTCTCTTTTTCTTAATTACCATACTAGTACAGTTCAAACCGTTAGCATTTTAAATGGCAATATAAACCGGTTTAAGTGAGGAGACGACCTTTTTTTTAGCTATGGCGAGTTTCGAGGGATTCGAACACGTATTCAGAGAAGTCATACCCGAACGCTCGGATCCTCCGGGTCCGGGCCTTCTCCGCCGGTGTCTCTTCCACGTCTACGCTTCCGATTCGTTTCATCTCACCTTCCATGTCACGGACTTGTTATAATCGGGTTTATTATGGACTTCCAACTTAAAACCAATAGGTGATTAGTGGATTGACTCTAACCCTTTATATAGTAGTAGATTAATTCTTATATTTCCGATGTGGGATGCTTCTCATCAATACCCTCCCTCACACTCAGACATCTAAGTCTAAAGCGTGGATAATGTGGGAATAACATCCATAGAGGGCCCAACATCGGTATAGTAGTAGTAGTTGTAGTAAATTAGGTCAAAGGATCTTATCGCTCTGATACCATGTTAGATTCGGGTTTATTATGAGCTTCCAACTTAAAACCAATTGGTGATTATTGGATTGGCTCTAACCCTTTATATAGTAGTTGATTATTTCTTATATTTCCGATGTGGGATGCTTCTCATCAAATCAGAGCCCAGGTTCTAAAAAGCCCTAAACCTCTAATTAATTAATTACCCTTCCGACTGGGTATATAGGTCGTGTTTAAACCTTTCGGCTAGTTATAATTGTCGTATTTGACTCGCTCGACTGAGTATAACTGTCTTAAAGTTTCGAGATTTCTGACCGATAAGAGCCATCATCTCGAGGAGGGGTATTAGGTATAATTATTAGGGATAATATATCCCACATTGGGAAATCAAAGAGACCTTGAGTAATATATAAAGGGTTAGAGCCAATCCACTAATCACCAATTGGTTTTAAGTTGGAAAGCCCAGACTTCATCTCCGGCGCCTGGGAGACGATCCTCTCCGTATCGCAGCTAGACGATATGATTCGTTTTTTTTACTCTCCTCTTTTTGATGAAGAAAAGCGAATATACCTCAATTAGCTTTGATTTTGGAAACAGAGGGATACTATAGGCATTGGTGGAACCTGGTCCGAGTTTCTAGATTACACTATGGCTTCGTTGAAATCTAAGAATGTGAAGCTTCTCCTTGGAGATCCAACTAACTTTTCTTCAATTTCACGCTTTAATTTTGATCGTTGACGCTAATCTTAGCGGTTGCTCACCGAACAGGACTAATGGAAGGAAGATCTCTAACAATCTCATAACACTCTCAGGTAAAACTGGGACAATGATGTATTATCTTCTGTAGTTTTGGCCCACGCAACTTCTCTAAGCACATGATTCAAATTAGGCTTGTCAAACTTAACCAACTTCACAAGAAACCTCTCATCGGCTCCTCTTGGAGTTTTGGGAGGGCTTGGCAGCCCTAACATTTTACTAAATATAAACCTATATTCGAATTTTTCAGCTGAAGTTAAGCATTCCATACTCTCCATTATGGACAAGACTTTCGGAGAAGGCAATGGTCTATCAAAGAGATTTACCTCCACGAATTCAGGGTAAGGACGAGCTAAATCCCTAAAAGTCAAACCTGGTTTTGTATAGTAATTCCTTAAAAATGATATTAGGAAGAAACGTCTTTTTCCAGACTTCATCATATTATACATATGTGTTCCTTCCTGTAACGAAACCAACAAAAGAAAGGATTAATGACAGAATTTCAAAGATTCCTTAACACTAAATAAAAACAAGATATATGGTTCACCAACGGCTTTGTGTTGACGATATGGTTAGGGAAGACGTCTAGGAATTATAGGGTTACACTTAGCCTCGAATAGGCCCAATAATTAAAATTTAAGGGCTCACAATATATTTTTTCAAGATTCTAAAACTTTTGTATTGCCGTTAGTATCATGCACAAATTACAATCATATGTTATATATACTTATAAATAATGTGCTGGCTAGTGTAATAACCTCAGCGAAACGGTGTTGGTGTCCAACGAGTGCCTCAGAGCATTTGATACTTCCGAAACCACAGACGATTGCAATCAGGAATCAGAAAAGGCCGCAAATTTTGCACCACAGACACAAACATCGTAACCAATCGTGGATAATATGCTAAGCGTGGCAGAGCAAAAATGACAAGAATCTTCAAGCGGGTTCATGGATTTGTTCAATGTGCCTTTATGTGCACAGAGATCTACTACTCTCTTTAGCTCTTCTTGCTTGCTCAAAAGTGTCTTGGAGTAACCATAGTTTTGGATCTCCATATGTTTCCTTAACTGTTTTTACTTCAACTCCATTAACCACCACAACCAATCGCTGGGAAAAAGAGGTGTATATCCAATGTTAATCTCATGTTCCAGTACCTTCAAAATATATATACAAGTTATATATCAAGATCAGAAAACACATATAGAAAATACATTATCAACTTATAATAATGACTTGTGATATTATGACAGCATCACGCGAATGATTCATGAATACATATCCTGCAAAGATGAAGTAGTTTGGCACACCTTTATCACCACACTCCAAGTAAGGAATCTGATTAAATAAACAAACCAAAAGCAATAAACAAAAAGAATTAAATGGAACATAGCAAAAGTAATGAGTTCGACTCTCAAGCTGGATATAGACATACATCGAGAGTGTAAACTTTTCTATTCCTTCAAATTTGGAGAGAAACGATATCCTTTGGTCTCTAAATTGAGATGTATATGTTCAAACTGATTCAATATCCTTGCCTAGGATAAACTATAAATGAAAACAATTAAGAAAATCAGTCATATATAGTTTAATCAGATAAGTAAAATCAGCTGACATTGTTTTTTCAGCAGATAAGTATAATGAAATATTGTTAATCAGATAAGTATAATGAAATATTTTTTTCATTTAAAACTATAAATGAAAACAATTAAGAAAATTAGTTGACATTGTGTTTTACTTATCTGATTAACATAGGTTACCAGAAACGCTGCCCTCACTCTTTCTCAAATTGCAATTATCCAAGGATTGATACACTGCTTAAGAACAATGCCACAAAATGAGATGGAATAGTATATCTGCAAACATACAAAAGCAAATGCATGTCTTAGTAAAGACCAAAATAGTTACAAACAGATTAAAAACTCACCCAATATTTTGTTGCTTCAAATTACCCTGAAAACATACTCCAATGAAATCACTTCCATCAAACAATGGACCGCCATTGTTACCTTTGTTCATAGCCGCATCTACTTGGAAAACAGAAAAAAGTGACCAGGCTGTGAAAATAATGAGCAATATCAATTTTTGAAATTATTCTCTTTGTGACGCAAATAGTACTACCACCTGAAAACAAGTAGATGCAAGCCATAAATATAATCACATTTAGTAAGTCAACCATAAGTAAGACTCTAGAGAAATTAGGAAATTTTGTTTGAAGTTTAAGTGGCTTCAAATCCATCCAAAAATCTTCTGACTCGACAATCAACACAGCGATGTCACATTGGTGACCAAAAGATTTCACATTTGCATTGTATGTGATTTCGATCCAAATTTTTTCACTTGGATAGTTTTGGCATGAGATACAACATGCGCATTGGTAATAATACTTTTCCCATCAATAACAGAACCTACCAATTAGGTGAACATATAAAGTAAATTGTCGTTATGCTACATGTTGGATGATTACTGTTAAATAATTAAGCTGAGGTTTTTTTTGTTTTACTTAGATAAAAAAAAATATAATTAATGCACAAATTGTTAACATCCGGTTCAAATATTATTTAATGAAATTGGCTATATAAAAAAACAATTAGGTAATGGTTAACATCCGGTTCAAATATCAAACCAATCTCTCTTTTTCTTAATTACCAAACCGGTACAGTTCAAACCGTTAGCATTTTAAATGGCAATATAAACCGGTTTAAGTGAGGAGACGACTTTTTTTTTTAGCTATGGCGAGTTTCGAGGGATTCGAACCCGTATTCGGAGAAGTCATACCCGAACACTCGGATCCGAATCCGAATCCGGGCCTTCTCCGGCGGTGTCTCTTCCACGTCTACGGTTCCGATTCGTTTCACCTCACAATCCATGTCACAGACTTCATCACAGGCGCTTGGGAGACGATCCTCTCCGTCTCGCAGCTAGACGATATGGTTCGGTTTATTATTATTATTATTTTTATTTGACTTGCTGAAGATAACACAATGACTTAGATGTTTATTAATCTTCACTGTCGATTTTTTTAAACAGAGAGACACTGTGGGCATTGGTGGTTCTTGGTCCGAGTTTCTTGATTACACTGTCGCTTCGTTGAAGTCCGAAAACGTGAAGTTAACTATTGTAAAAGGTAAAAAAACAAAATAATAATAATTCAGCTTTTATTGTCAAATTTTTAAAAAAACTTTATTTCAGTTATGCTTGAGTTCGTTTTAGTACTTCCAAGTTAAAGATGCTAACTTTTATTCAATTCTCCGTGGCTTTTTTTTTTCGCTATTCATAGTTGTGTTTTCTTTTTGAGGGCTCGTGCTTTATACGTAGTTATGTTTGTGTTTCATCACATGTAGAGAGTGCGAGGTTAGTATCTCAGAAGGCTAAAGGAATGCCACGTGTAGTAGTTACTCTAAGGAAGATGGTTGATGAATCATCTGCTAGTGAGGCAATGGCGAATCTGTCTCTCGAGTTGTTCAGAGCATTCAAGAGAACGATGCATTTACAAGGTACTATTACTTTGTCTTAACCACTCTGCTGTTATTGCAAGTGAGACTAAGATGACTCTTGTTTTGAATGATGAAATTGAGATAAAACACTCTTTGTGTTCTTGTTTCTGTCTTCAGGGGAAACAAGCAGTTCAGCTGTGGTAACTGATGAAAAGGTATGTTTGGTCTGGAAGTTCTCTTAATCAACAATTCTTAACAGTTCTGCTGCAATACTCTGTTCCTACTTCCTTGCGTTAGTTGAAAAATTTTACATGTACTGTGATCAGGATAAGAGGGACGCTGCCCATAACCAACTTGAACGATACTCTGGAAAACTAGATGTTATGGCTCCATCAATAGATAACCGGCAAGACTCTCCCGGTTAGTCCTGTTTAACCATGTTTTGTCATTAAACAATTATCATCAACATCACTGGTTTTCATCTCATATTATTTAATTGCAGCCAAGCAATCTGCTCGAGAAGCTAATACAATAAAGCCTTCTAAACGAGTACCTGCTCACCGGAGGTATTTACATATCTTTTTCTCTCTACAATCTACACCTTTTATACGCAGCATTGATATTAATATTGATATGCTTCGCCTAAAACTCAGCTACGGTTTTTGCAGAACACGTAAACGAGGTGCTCTTCTGCAAGACTCAGATGAAGAGGATGGCTAACGCTCTGGTTCTCCTGGTAGTTATGCTTAACGCTCATAGTAACTTTCCCAGGTTTCTCTCCTCTTTGGGTGAATGGATTTGTGAAAATCACATGTAACGTTAAAGTAGATTCCTAGTAGACGCATATTATAATTCTTGTCTGGAAGATAATGAATGATTAAAATGGAACCTTGCTTTGTGTCATTATTCATTCTTGTATTGTTTTCCTCTAAGCACACATATTTTCATATATGACGAATCCAATATATGAACTAAGCATATACACATCAGTTACCAGTTCAGACATATATAGATAGAGTACAGTTTTCAGTTGTGTGACTCAGAGATCAAGTTTCTCCTCATCCATGGCTTCTTTGACTGCCTTCAAAACCCATGGCTTGAGTTTCTTGGTGGTAACAATGATCCCTGTCTCGTGAGCAAGATATTTTCCTTTGGAGAAGTCCAGAGATTTCCCTGCAGCATCGCAAACCACACCTCCAGCTTCTGCACAAGGTTAATTTTGTATACTTCCCTATTTAATTTTTCAGTGGCTATTCAATTTAGGTAAGTTACAAAAGAGATTTATTTACAATACCTGTTGTGATGATGAAACCAGGGGCATGGTCCCATATAGTCTCACGGTGTCCACTGAGAGTGAAACGCAAGTATATCTCTGCGTCTCCTCTGGACACAGCTGCATACTTTGCTTGGCTATCCATCCTTACAGGTAATGCCGTGATCCCAAGTTTCTGCTCAAACCGTAAACAGACCGGTTTAGTAAACAAGAATTCTACTTGGTTATTGCTACATGAGTGCACACTGTAATACGAGAACGCACCTTGGCGATGGAACTATGTATGGGAATTGGTTTGTGGTATGATTCTAAAAACTTCGCTTCTTCAAGATTCTCATTGCTACTCACACATACCTGTCAACACAGCTTTCACTCTCTTCAACACTTATCAAAGCATTGCAAGACTATCACACAGTTCAGATTTGGATAAGGTAGAGGATACCTTTTGTGGCAGAGAATTGCCTTCGAGCGGTTGGACATAAGCCCCTGAACCAGCTGTAGCAAAGAAGAGACATCCAACGTTTTCCTGTGAAGACTCATCTGTCTCACCAACCGCAGAAGCCAAAGGAAGATTCGGACAAGCCATGACACCAAGCACCACTTCGCCTTCCACAAGCAACGCTAATCCCACAGCATACTGCTCTCCTCTCACAAATCTAAACAAGCAGAGAATCTTAGTACTGAGAAAGGTAAAGATATTTGATTACAGAGGAGATTTGTTTACCCTCTGGTTCCATCTATAGGATCAAGAACCCAATGGTAACCACTGCAACCACCTTCTGATTTACCACAATCTATAGCGTTCAACACATCCTCTGTGGATGGAGGAGAGTCTGTGTATGATTCCTCAGAAGCTAGAGTGTCTTTCACAAGCTTCGTAACACCTTCTAGAAACACCTCACTTCCTTTCTTCCGCAGTTCTCCAGTTTCCTGTAAGAATATGATAAAAACATTTAACGCTATAAGACATCTGATTAATGTTTTGTGTTTTAGAGTTAATTACTGCCACCTCTTCTGCTACTAATGAAAAGATTGCAGGTTGGAGCTCTCTCTGTAATACAATACTAACAACAGCTTGTGACCCTGAAGATATAGATCCATTAATGGTAAGAGTTAAGTGAAATCTAAACTTGAATTTATTCAAAAGCTGAGGTTACAAACCAAAATCAGCTGCAGTAACCGGAGTTCTGTCTGATTTTGTCCATACTTCTGATTGCAACAGAGTCTTCTGTACTCCCTAAACATCATTCATATAAGACAGGTTTGGATTCGATTCTAGCTTCCAAGTGATGATAATTCAATGATGGATATGGTAACGTTACTTACTTGGCTGAGACGAGCAGCTAGAGAAACGGCTTTCTTCGCAGCGACTAGCTCTTTCTCGTAAGACATTACAAAGCTCCAAAAAATATAAATCCATAGACGTTTGTTACATATATACAATTCATATATTATTTTTTTTGTTTAAAATGGAGTTTCGTGGGTGATGATGGTTCAAACCTTCTTCCACGTTATGACATAACAAGTTGACGTTTAAAAATGAAACTTAAAAAGAAAAGAGTGTATATGTAACAAAGAATATGTAGTATGTAGAACTATTAAACGGACTTTTGTATGGGTCATCATATTTTAATAAACTTCTTTAACAAGACAAGAGTTAACACTAATCGTCAGGCACTAAACAAATCAGCTATATTCCAACTAATCAATCTACTAATCTCTCCCCTATTAAACATTTATATACGAAGCTTCGCAGAAGTTTGTTATATTATCAATTTGATTCTTCCTTGCTTTTATGTGAAAAGTCTTTTTAAGTTGTCTTTTAATAGTACGTGACAGGAAAAGAAACATTGTCTTTTTATATTCGCGATTACAAAAATAGATGCGTTGCAAACTTGCAATCAGTTAGCTACGTACACATTTTCACTTTCTCCCCCAAGATTCCTCTATCTTCACAAATCATCCCAAAAGTTGTTCAAATTACATTCACATACTACTTTCATAATTCAGATAATTAAAAATAAACAATTAGGAAAACTATATTCAAAAGAGAATTAGTGTTTATTATATATCAGAGTCGAGTTTTAATTTTTTTTTCCAATGATAATAGTCTGAGAAAAACACAGAGATCCCCAGAGAGAGAGTACAGTAACAAGGTATATTACAGTTGCTTGTCAGTGAAGTTTCAAAGAAGCAGCTTTCTCTTCTTCCTCTTCCTCTTCTTTAAGTGATTCCCTCACCGCTTTCAACAGCCTTGGCAACAGCTTCTGCGTCGTGACAACAATCCCTCTCTTGTAATCAAGATACTTCCCTTTCGAAAAATCCAATGGACTCCCTGCTGCATCAGTCACTATCCCTCCAGCTTCTGTAAGATACATTTGTGTGATCATTCATGAACATTGGAGCATATTTGGATAAGTGGTTTAAAGGGTGATTGATTTACCTGAAACTAGGATTGATCCAGCAGCGTGATTCCATATTGATTCGGGTCTAGCTTTGCGGGTAAACCTCAAGTACACCTCTCCATCACCTCTAGATAAAGCTGCATACTTAGTCTGGCTGTTGATCTTTATTGGAGACTCCTTTATCCCCAGTTTCTGTCACAGAAGTAAACATAGTCAGAGTCAGACAGAAACACAAAGAAGGTATCTATATGGAGAATGTGAGGATGATGTTTACTTTAGCAATGGTGTTATGAATAGGGACAGGTGTGTGGTATGACTCAAAGAAACTCGCTTTTGCCGGATCATCATTGCTACTTACCTCCACCTAATAGTGGAGAGTTAATAACAATGAGCAAAACACATTGAGAAGGTTTGATTCATAGTAATGAATATAGAAACAGAGTGGTTTATGAATAGGTTTAATACCTTCACAGGAGGAGCGTCGAGAGCGTTGAGTGACTGTACATAAGCTCCAGTGCCAACAGCACCAAAGAAAAGGCAACCCACTTTTTCAGGTGAAGTCTTCTGTGTGTTGCTGCCAGCAGTTGAGGCTAAAGGAAGCTTAGGACAAGCCATTACACCAAGCGCTATTTTGCCTTCCACCAACAATGCTAATCCTATTGCATATTGTTCTCCTCTTATAAACCTACAAAAATTTGCAAAAATCATTGGTAATAAGTAAGGTTCTCTTCTGGTTACAAGTACTCTATGAAACAGTTCAGTAATGTATCTATTTAACAAAACCAAGAAAACAGATACTACAGTTCCAAGAAGTTGCAAAACAAATGCAGTCACTAGTAGTAAGTACGTTTAAGTAAAAGGACTAACCCTCTGGTGCCACCAATAGGATCCAAGATCCAGTGACGACCCTTGGGACCTCCTTCAGATTTGCCAGAGTCAATGGCCTTGAGAACATCATCAGAAGTCAAAGAAGAAGCAGCATAGGACTCATCAGTGGCAAGAGTATCTTTAACAAGCTCTGTAATACGTGCCAAAACAGTCTCAGCAGCAACTTTCCTCAGCTCAGCAGAATCCTACACATAAACACACAGAACAAAAAACGAGAGAAAGTCAGTAACGTAGCCAAACAAATATGTTATTGTTTGCAATAAGGCAAACAAACCTCTTCAGCGACTAAAGACACAGGTTCGTTCTTGAGTTCCCTTTCAAGAACAAGGCTAACCACAGCTTGAGCACCTGAAAGAACATTCCTTTGGTTTACATTTACAAGCCAAGAGAGAATCTAATGAAGTTAAAATAAAAAAAAGGTAAAGACTTTTGCTAACCATAGTCAGCAACAGTAACAGGACTATCATCTGATTTGTTCCAAACGTCAGATACCAACAGAGATTTCCTCACTTCCTGGAAAACAAAACAAAGCCAGTTTCACTTGTTAGCATGATTAATTCGAGGTTCTTAGAGTGGAATAGCTAAAGTTAAGAAAATGTTCTTAAATAAGGACTTTAAAACTGGTTCTTTAACTTTTTTAATTCAAAATTTAAGAAACAGTTTTTAACTTCCGCTAAGAACCCAGGATAATCATGGTCTTAAGAAGATCCGAGTCAAGACTCTTTAAACATCAAAGTACATATCAAAGAAGAAACCAAAGATTCTGCCTCATTGTTCAGATTAAATCAAGATTTCAAACCCTAATCCGAAAAAGACTCAATTTTTCACAAGAAACAACCAAAAAGTCTTATCTTTTCTACATCAAAAGAGTTTAAAATAAAACAAAAACTGACTCTTTCTATTCGAACACGCATCATCGCAATGTCAACGAGATAAAATGAAGAAAAAAAGTAAATAATATATAAATCTAGAAATCAGAGATGATCCATGTGATGTGATATGATCTAAGAGTGATTCGTATACGTACGTTACTGAGACGAGCAGCGAGAGAGACGGCTTTCTTGGCAGCAGCAAGCATCTCATCATAAGACATTCCAAACACTAAAGAAGAAGATGAAGAAGACGAAAGGATAAGAAGAAGTAATCTGTGTGAAAATCGATTTGTGAATGGATGAGAGATATGAAACCAAAAACCTCTCGCGACTCTGAACCAACTTCTTCACGATTTTCACTTATTTATTACTTTTCTCTTCCGGGTTTTAATACGTAAAATAATAATCATTTCTTTATTAAATTATTATTTATTGTTATCGGTACTATATTATAAAAAATAATACATCTCAAACCGTTGTAGACGACTAGTCCAATACCGTTGAGACTGTGCAAACTTTCGCTCACGTTGTTTATTATTATGGTCATTTTGGTTTTTCGGAATAATATAAAAAATAATATTTTGATTATTTTAGTTGTTTGTTGAAGTTATTTTAATTTTTTGAAATAAAATAAAAAATAATATTTTTGATCATTTTAATTTTGAAATCTATTTTTATGATAAAAAAAATTTTAAATGTTTATTTGAGGGAACTGCTATTTTTCTTATTTTTATTCACAAATATCTAACATAATTTCTAATTTAATAAATAACAAGTGTGGATTTTCTGTTATTATTATACTCACTTGTTATTTATTATACTCCGCAAATTGTAACAAGCCTTATCTTGTAAGTTATAATCCAAATGAAGATATATATAAACAATCCAAGACTGAATTGGTCCAATAGAAATATATTTTTCTTTTCAGAAAGATATTTTGATGAAGTAATAAATGTAATTTCAGTATTTCAAAAACCATTAAATAGAAATGCCTATTCGTAGGTGAGAATAATACCATGTTACATTCAATGTGTGGCAATAAATAGTAGTTGTGATTGTTACTATTTGTTATAAATAGTATATGATTGGTACTCTCTTTCCGACCAGTAAAATAAAATAGTAGTATATGGTAGTTACTTTTATTAAATAAATTTACCAAACAAAATTTATTTTCGGGTACGTTGTATTTAGTTATGTTGATCCTTTTTAACATATGATTTTATTCTAAAGGTTATGCTTTCTTTCTTTTCATCTTTGTGAATAACTGTTTACTGTTGGGTGAGAATAGATTCCTTCTTTCATTTTTATAGTTAATAGAGAGTAGTGTAATCTTAATTGATAATATACTGCAAATTGCTTGATTACATTATGTTGAATATGACTTGTGAACCTTTTCTCCTGATCTCGTCGATTAGAGATTGTGTTCTCATTAGCACACAAATTAGTATCTCTGATTAACAGAGAGATTATCAATAAATATACCATTCACATTAAACGCTTATTTGTACCCGTCCATTTATTAGTTAAGTTTGACTTATTGTAAGAATGTGACTTATCATGTGAGGGTAGGAATCCTTCATCGTGGATGGGAAATTATTTTCGGGAACAATATCTCGAATTTCAACTTTTTCTTATGGATTAAAAGATACAAAATAATATCTATTTATACGTTGTTTATACTTTATAATATGTATATGGAAAGATTCTAATAAACGCGCTTACATGTTTTTTAGGATGAAAAAGTAGTTAACGCGCTATGGACACGTCGGGGGGCTCTTAAAAGGCCGTTTCTAGCTCATATTGGGCCAAACTAAATATAATGTTTATCTGTTACACTCGGCCCAATATATTGTTTTTTTTTTTATTAAAACGAGAAAATGCTCAGTGTGTAACACAAACATGTTTCGTTGTGGTTGGTGAAAGGAAGTGAAACAAGAGTTACAAAGTAGATACCAAACACAAAGACACTAAAGAAGGAATCAGAGAGATGAAGCTTTCTCTTGCTCAGCAATGGAGTCACGAACTGCTTTCAAAAGCAGAGGCATAAGCTTCTCATTAGCAACGATGATGCCAGTGTCCAAATCAAGATACTTCCCTTTCGAGAAATCCAATGGCTTTCCACCTGCATCTGTCACGATTCCACCAGCCTCTGCTCCCAAAAGATATTTGTTTCATCATCAAAAATCACACTCATAACAAAAAAGAGGGTAAGTCTTTATCATAATGTTGTTACCTGTAACAACTATAGCACCAGCTACATGGTCCCAAATCTTTTCACGGTATCCTTTATGAGGAAACCTTAAATATATAGCTCCATCTCCTCGAGATAAAGCTCCATACTTCGCTTGGCTATCTATCCTGACAGGTGGCGCTTTCACACCAAGTTTCTGTATATAAGCAAAGAGAGAGAGAGAGAGCGTTGATCATATGAATCAAGAATCAGGTAAGAGAGAAACCAAGACACTTACATTAGCAATGGAGCTGGATAAATCGTGAAGAGAGTGAGCTCCTTCAAACGACTCAAAGAAGGAAGCCTCTTCAGGATTCTCAACACTAGAGACATATACTCTAACTGGATCAGAGTTCGAATCTAAGGGTTGCATGTATGTCCCTGAACCAATTGTAGCATAAAAGAGACATCCCTTTTTGTCTGAAGAAGAAGAAGAGTTCTTGTTTCCTGCTATGGATGTTAATGGCAAGTTTGGACAAGCAAGCACACCTAAAACTACTTTCCCTTCCTCAAGCAATCCTAATGCTACCGCATACTGATCTCCCCTTAAAAACCTAAACAAGCATAGAGTCAAGACCACACAACATTTGATCTTTAGAATAGTGAGTGTTAAAACTTTACCCTTTAGTGCCATCAATAGGATCCAAGACCCAGTGTCGACCATTAGGACCACCTTCAGATGTGCCACAGTCAATGGCTCTGAGCAGATCATCTGTTGATAAAGTAGAGTCAACGGGTTTGGATAGATTCTCACTAGCCAAAGTGTCGTTGACTAGTTTAGTGATGCGTTCAAGAAGATCCTCAGAACCATCCTTGCGTAGATCAGCTGAGTCCTATAATTTTAAGACAATGTGAGTCATTAAAACATTAAAAACTCAGAGACAAGTAATGATAATAAAGCTGTTTCTCACCTCTTCAGCCACCAATGAAAAGGGTTCAGAAGTGAGTTCCCTTTCTAAGACTAAACTAACAACTGCTTGTGAACCTGAAAACTCAAAAACAAGGTCAGCTTAATTACTCCAAAGACACAACAAAGTCAGTGTTACTTGTCCAAAATCATTGGCTAATTATGTAATTATTACATTGCAATCTCAGTAAATAGAAAAAAAAAGTTTTGTTGATCTGAATAAAATTTAACATTCATTCAAAAAAATTTCTCAGTAAAGAGAAAAAGACTAACCATAATCAGCAACGGTGACTGGACTTTTATCAGATTTTGATTGAACATCTGATTGCAACAAAGCCTTTTGAACTTTCTGAAACAAACCAAAAAAAAAAAAAAACAAATTCCTTTAAGACACACTCATCTCCAAATCCAAAAATTTCGAATCGAAAATAGGGAAATTAACAAATGGGTTTTCTAAAAGGATCAAACTTTAAGAGACCTGACAGAGACGAGCTGCAAGGGAAGCAGCTTTCTTAGCAGCAACAAGCTCTTTCTCGTAAGCCATGGAAGAGACTACTCTGAGAGTGAAAAATGAAGGAGAAGACTTTCTTCTCAATACAGAAGCGAGACGGTTCGGTGAATAGCTGAATCTTGAAACTGATGCGAGTGTCTGAAGCGGTGCTTTGGCTGTTCGAAAGCAATTTATAGAAGACATCATCCTTGGCCTTGAAGAAGATACAAATCTATTCACAGTTCAATGACAACTATTATTATTTTCAAAATTTGCGGTAGAGACCCATACACTTATTTATTCTTTTAAATTAGACCCTTAAGTTTACTTTCGGTCAACGAAGACCCCAATTGTTCTCCTTGTTAAGGAGTTTATTTTTTATTTTTTGGCTCAACATCAACATTCATTTCACCAATTCAAATGGTACAATAGATTGACCTCTACAGAATTTGACCCCAAATGCAATGGTGCAGTCTAGTATCACCCTGAAACTCTACTTGGAGTTTATTTAGTACTAAACCTAAACAACAAAAGTAGAGGGTCAAAAAAGAAAACTAAAAACTATAATGTTTATAGATTGGTGGTTGTTGAGTTTGTGGTAATGGAGATCGCACGTGGATGTTGTGTCTGAAAACTTAGTGAAATTATAGGTGAAGTGAAGATTTATAAAAAGGCTTCTCGATTAGTTAAAGCCCAAGATGATCAAAAGCCCATTGTTAATATTATATTCAGAGCCCAAAATTAGACGACGGCTTGGCCACGTTATTTTTTTTTTGAGAATGAATGTAAAATTGAATTCAAACAAAAACATATTACATCAAGTGCTTCTGTTTTTTAATTGAGGCTACAAAACCCCAATTACATTTCAAAACCAAAAAAGAAATAAGCTAAACACTAATCAATTGAATTTTCTTCTTTTTTTTTTATCAACTGATATTATTCTTTTAAACACTCTTTTTTTAAACATGTTTGGGTTTTGGATAACTCACATAATGACAAAAAGACCAAGATTTTTCAGATTTGATGTCGTGTTTAGAAAGCCAAGTTACGTAGTGGTTATCTGCGGGCGCAAGCAAAGTGTCACGTTCCACCACCTTTCAATATTCAGATAAATCTACTTTTATGTCTTCTTGTTGCATCTTTTTATTATATCTAGAATCTCCAATAAAAAGTTGTTTTCTACAAAAAGTCTTCTTGGTCTACCTTCCACAAACTCAAGGCTCATATTCTATATACTTCCTACTTGGCTACTTTATCTTCATTAATTGTGTGAATTTACATATATCCTCACTTTGAGTCAGTTCTTGTGGAGCAGAGCAGGGTGTTTTCCAATGAACAGATACAATCAACGTAACCAGCAACCTTCATATATTGCTGATCATTTCAACAGCTTGGAACAGGTTTCCAACTTCTTTTTCTTTATTTCTTGATTTTTTTATAGTTGACAAAGCAAAGTTAGTTCATAAGAAGACTTGGTTTCTGTATTAGGTGATAACTTCTCTGAGAGAAGCTGGACTTGAATCTTCAAACTTGATTTTAGGAATTGACTTCACCAAGAGCAATGAGTGGACAGGTGATTTTATCTAATTCACATGTTGATAAATATGCTTTCAAATGGGCTTTAAGTGTTTTATGTTATGACTCTCGTTGCAGGAAGACACTCATTCAATAGAAAAAGCCTTCACGCCATTGGTAAAAGACAGAATCCATATGAGCAAGCAATATCCATAATTGGCCGTACATTATCTCCCTTTGATGAAGATGATCTTATACCTTGTTTCGGCTTTGGTGATGGTAAAGTTTCTTTACTTCTGGCTTTCAAGACTCAAAACAAACTCTTAAGTGTTCTTCTTCTTGATGCAGTAACAACACGAGATCAATATGTATTCAGCTTTTACCCTGAGAACAAAAGCTGCCATGGATTGGAAAACGCAGTTAAAAGATATAGAGAGATTGTTCCACATTTGAAGTTGTCCGGTATTTTATAACTAAACACAAAAACATCGGTTTAGTTCTGTCTTAATCCCAAAGAATAAATAATTTTTTCTCTTGCACAGGTCCCACTTCATTTGCACCGGTTATTAATGCAGCCATCGACATAGTGGAACAGAACAATATGCAATACCATGTTCTTGTCATTATAGCAGATGGTCAGGTCACTAGGAATCCAGATGTGCCATTTGGTCGGCTTAGTCCACAGGAAGAAGCTACTATGAACTCCATAGTGGCAGCTAGGTAAACAAATACTATTCAACAAGCTGTGATTCATGGTCATAGTTTATTCATACTAATGTTGTTTGGTAATAATTTTCCAGCCATTACCCATTGTCTATAGTCTTGGTTGGAGTAGGAGATGGACCGTGGGACACAATGAAACAGTTTGATGACAATATCCCTCACCGCGAATTCGATAACTTCCAGGTAAAATATAATTTTAAAATAAAATATGGTTACTGTATAAAGTGGATCTCATTGTGAAAGACCTATTACTGGAATATTAATAGGGGTAGAGCCAATGAATAAATTGTACAAGTTACCAATAGTATTGATTAATTAAAAGAAGGAGCTCCGGTGTAAAGAGAGGACCTCACCGTTTTATAACCAATCTAGTCGTTTCTTTTGGGAAATGATGATAATAAGTGAAAAAAACTGTGTTTTGTTTTCAGTTTGTGAATTTCACAGAGATAATGTCAGAGCACAAAGATGCAGCTAAAAAGGAGGCTGCTTTTGCACTAGCAGCTCTCATGGAGATTCCTTTTCAGTACAAAGCTACATTAAGCCTAGAGTAAGTGGAGCCAAGTTTGCACAATGGGGAAACTTCTTGTATAACTGTTTTATATTTGCATTAGATTCTTGAAAAGTTGGCAACTAAACCGTTTTTTATTGTGCTTTGTGAACAGTAGAAAACAAGTGTGTGCTTCCCGTTTGCATCACAAGCCGCTCCCACCACCACCTGAGGTCATAGAGCGTGACAATGCTGTTAGAGCAGTGCCAAATCCAGTAACAGAAACGGCAGAGAGAAGTGAAAGAACGGTTTCAGTAACAACACAACCCGTATGCCCGATTTGCTTGACGAAACCAAAGGACATGGCTTTTAGCTGCGGTCACACTGTATGTGAACATATACAAATATATTGAAAACTCATTGCATTGCTTGCTCCATGAGCAAGATCAGTTTTGTGATAACTATGTGGCTTTTATTTTCATGTGAAGACATGCAAGGAATGTGGTGTGGTTGTGAAGACATGCCCAATGTGTAGACAACCTATAACAACGAGGATAAGGCTATACACTTGACTCGATGAGGCAAAGACCATATGGGTTAGGCAGCTAAAGCTCCATGTCCATATTTTGTGTACCATATTGTATAGTTTCAAGCAGAAGAATAATTAAAAAACCTAAATCATGAGCTGAAATAGTTTGTAACAAGGTGTTTTGCCCGCACTTGCGGGTATAGTTCTCTTATGAATATATATTAGCTGGTGTTTCATTAATTTAAAAACCAGCATAATAAGTTATTATTTTATATTTTCAAAAGTACAAATGAAACATCAAATCATTATCAATAACAAAACTCAAACATCAGAAATATTTAAAAGAAAATATTTCTATAATTATTTTGCTTGATTCATATTTAATTATAATATTTTTACTTAATTTATATTTGATTATAATTTTTTATATTTTGATTTTAAATTTTATAACATAAAAAAATACTTTCAAGATACAATATAATGCATAAGTTATTTATGTTATACAATTATAATATGATAAATTTGTTTTAATTATATAATAATTATAGAAATTATGACATATGATTAAAATTACCTAAATTCATAGAGAAATTAATGAATCAGCAAATTCACTTCTTAAATAATTTTTCTTGAGTGATGATTTATATTTAAATAATAATAGATAATTTTCTGTTTTACTTTAAATTATATAATATAAAAATATATTTTCAAGATAACAACATAATACATAAGAATTACCTTATTTTTTAAAAGTATACTATTATTAGTGTAAATTTATTTGAATTGTAGAATAACTACAACATTTTATATCTTAATTTTGAATTTCTAATAGAAAATTATATTTTTCAAAACAAGAACTTAATAGATAAGAAGTATCTTATTTTCTAAAAATCTAATATAACTAATATAATTTTGTTTTAATATATAATAAATTATATATAAATTATAGAAATTATGATAAATTATTAAAATTACCTAAAATCATGGAAAATATGAAAAATCAACAAACATCAAATTAACTTATTAAATAATAGTATATTTTTTTACATGTTAATTTTAATTTTTTTAATAGAAAACTATATTTTAAAGATAACAACATAGTACATAAAAATTAACTTATTTTCTAAAATATCATATTATTAAATATAAATTACTTTTAATTATATAATCAATATCAAACAAAATTAGAGAAATTCTGATAAATGATGAAAATTATCTAGGATCATGGAGATAAATCAACAAATTCACTTTTCAAATACTTTTTTGATGATTTATATTTAATTATTAATAATATAATTTTTTATCTTAATTTAAAGTTTTATAATATGAAAATATATTTCAACATAAAAACATAATATATAAAAATTATCTTATTTTAGAAAAATATAAAATTATTAATAGAATTTCCTTTTAGTTATATAATAAATATAATGATTTTATATCTTAATTTAAAATTTAATTTTATATATAATATATATTTCTAGATAACATTATAATTCACAAGAATTATCTTATTTTCTAAAATATGACATATTCATATAAATTCGTTTTATTTATAAATAAGTTATATATAAATATTAAAAATATGATAAAGAAACAAAATTACCTAAATTTATGGAGAACATGGCAACTAATCAAATTTACTTCTTATATAATAGTATAGATAACCGAACATTCTTAGATTGACTAAACAATGCAAGAAGAGTTCTCTTTCTGACAGTATTAATCAACAACACAGCTACAGCACAAGGAAGCAAAAAAAGTCCTTACTGGAAATTATATTCGGTGAGTGATTACTTTGAGAAGGTGGGCTTGTTTCGGCCTTTCAAAAGGAATTATAGAGAGTCGGCCCAATTATGGCCCATATCAGGGGTTGACAGTCGCAAACGCTAAAAACGTTAAGGGAGCGTTGCAATGCACTAGACTCTCCGTTTGTTATAGTCAACAAACAATTGTATTTTCTCTCTTTTTCTTTCGTTGCGTCTGTTGAATCAAATCCTCTGTATACGAACTTTTGCTTTATATTTTAAAAATGTTCCATAACAATATGATTAAATGAATATGAAGTATACATATGTTTACCGCCCGCGCCTAAAACAATCCAGCAACCAATGATGTAAATACATAAAACAATTTAAAATTATAAACTAAAAAGAATTATTATAAACTAGAAAGTTAAGAAAAGAAAGGAAACAATATTTTAGTGTTCGTTAAATAGAAGATACGCAGACGCATTTGTATTGGAACTCAAAAAAAAAAAATCTTTCAAAATTCAAAAACTCAAAGGAAAGGCGGGCGTCTCTTCCTTCTCTCCTTTAATACAATCAAACCATCGAGAGACGCAACACAAACACATCTTCTCCAGAGAGAAAAGCATACAATGGCGGAAAACACGACCAGTACTAGAAGAAAGCCTCAGAGCTTGAACGATCGTCACTACCGCCTCCTCCAAGATCTCTCCGCGCCTCCTAAACACGCTCCTCCTCCTCCTTCTTCTTCCACACGTGCGAAACTCCTCCTCTTACTATCTCTTTAATTTTTTTACTTTGACTTTAGATATTTTTTTTTTTTAATTTCAGATGAAGAAGATGAAGGAACGAAGATAAAACTCGCGGGACGACGTCGTTTATGCAAATTCTCGGTGGAGGACGATGATGTTTCGGAAGAAGATGAAGGAACGAAGGTAAAACTCGCTGGACGACGTCGTTTATGCAAATTCTCGGTGGAAGACGATGAAGAAGAAGAAGAAGAAGATGATCCTGATTTGGCTGATTTCGATTCCCCAGGTACATCCATCCACTCGATTTTTAGGGTTTGTGTTCTTAATTTAGCTTCAACATGAAATTAGGGTTCTTCAAAATCTGGATTTGATTTTTTTTTACAAAACTGCGTCGTTTAAGTTTACTTGAATGTGTTTGTTTGGTATATGATGATTGGAATCAGGTAAAAGAGATACACCACTGGAGAGAGCTGAAGCTAAGGAGAAGCTCACATCTTGGGATGAAGCTAAGGAAGGTAGCACAAAGGTGGGAGAGGAGCCAAGCTTTTCGATGATAACAGACTTTGGTTCTCCCTCTCCTCTTCTTGAGCAAAAGGAGGAGAGGCAAGGAGGTGGAGGACAGAATGAGATTATGGATATTTTGGATGATTTGACCTCTAAGCTTGGGACAATGTCTATTAAGAAGAAAAAAGATAACATAAGCAGTGACTTTGAGAGTGTTAAAACCTCATTCTCCTTGATATCCGAGTCCCCCTCAGATGTTGTTACTAAAGCTGGTGATGATAGTAAAGCTGGGTTTGCTATCCGGGAAGAGAAAGCTAGTAATGTGTTTGTGGGAGAAAGAGTTTCAAATGGTGGAAAGAAGCCACCGTTTTCTGGTCAGCAGTATGTTGGTAAGTCTGAAGGGTATAGACAGGAGGAGAATCTTGACCGTGGGACGGGCAAAGTCGAAGAAGTCGACCGGAGTCTGAAAGCTAGTAATGTGTTTGCAGGCGAGAGGGGAAAGAAGCAGCCGTTTTCTGGTCAGCGCTATGTTGGTAAGTCTGAAGGGTTTAGACAGGAAGATAATCTTGACCGTGGGAAGGGCAAAGTCGAAGAAGTCGACCGAAGTCTGAAAGCTAGTAATGTGTTTGTAGGCGAGAGGGGAAAGAAGCAGCCGTTTTCTGGTCAGCGCTATGTTGGTAAGTCTGAAGGGTATAGACAGGAGGACAATCTTGACCGTGGGAAGGGCAAAGTCGAAGAAGTCGACCGGAGTCTGAAGATGAGTAGACATGTGGAGGTCAGTGAGAAGCTAAGATCAGTGGGAAGGTACAATGCTGCTAAGCTACGAGATTTAGACGACGATGATGATGAGGATGACTGTGTTGTGTTGACTGGAAAAAAGGCGGCTGAGATGAAAAGCCATATCGATAAGCCTAAAAAGCCAGCTCGGTCTCACAACACTGCAACACATGCTTATGAAGAGAAAGTGGCGGAGGATGAAGGGTCTATCACTTTAACTGGCCCAAAATCTTCTTACACACTGCGTGGGAAGATTGCAACGATGTTGTATCCGCATCAGAGGGAAGGGTTGAAGTGGCTCTGGTCATTGCACACCCAAGGGAAAGGTGGAATACTTGGGGATGATATGGGTTTAGGTAAAACTATGCAGGTAAGGGAATTTGCAACCTTTATTTTGTCCTCAATAATGTAAATTTACTGATTTGGGTTGATTTGCATAACAGATATGTAGCTTTCTTGCCGGATTGTTCCACTCGAAATTGATCAAACGTGCTCTGGTAGTGGCACCAAAAACCTTGCTGCCTCACTGGCTGAAAGAATTAGCTGTTGTGGGACTTTCACAAATGACTAGGGAGTAAGATCAGTTTTCTCGCTTTGTTATTTACTGAAGTATGTAGATACTAAGATCATGCTATATACTGGTTGTAAATATTGTGTTTCTGATTTTTTTTCGTTCCGGCTTTATAGATTCTACGGCACTTCTGCAAAAGCCCGAGAGTATGATCTCAACCACATTCTACAGGTACCTGTTCTTTCTTCCATTGTTAGCCTGATAGGTGTCAATCACTAAATGCGTTAACTATTCAATCATATTTCATTTGCATTTTGACTTGATTTGGTGACGAGAAGATCAACAAGGAACTTGTATGGGAATTTAGTGCTGTATTGTTAAAATTCAATTGCCTTAAACTGTTACAGTTTATACTGTTGTTAATCATCTTTATCTGTATAGCAGCACTTTCCTTATCATTTGGACTGATTAAGCTGAGAAATATTTAATCAGTTGTTTCTTGGTCTTGTTATCCATCAGATACTTAATTTTGTTTTGATGTGGGTTTTCAAGCTGAGATATCTCTAACTTTTGTAGGGTAAAGGTGTTCTTCTAACTACTTATGATATCGTACGGAACAATACAAAGGCTTTGCAAGGTTCTCAACTGTATACTGATGATGACGACGAAGATGGCATCAAATGGGACTACATGATTCTGGACGAGGTAAGGCATATTAATCTTTTGTCATTTTGCGAGGTCTAAATTTGGATCAATTAATCGCTGTGAGGCTAGCATTAGTGTATGTTTTGACCTTTTTTCAACTGATACCATAATGACGTATTGATATTCGGCTATATTTCTAGGGACATCTTATTAAAAACCCCAGCACACAAAGGGCCAAGAGTTTGCTTCAAATTCCAAGTTCTCACCGTATAATTATAAGTGGTACCCCAATCCAAAATAATTTAAAGGTATTTCACGTCAGTCAATGTCTTTTCATCTATGAATGTATTATTCCAGTGGTAATGGCGTCCGCTGATTCCATCTTATTTTTATAGGAATTGTGGGCTTTATTCAATTTCAGCTGCCCCGGGCTCCTTGGTGATAAAAAAGAGTAATTATCTTCTCCCTAATCCATACATGTTAGATTACATATACTAGCTTTGTATTTAATTCTTTAAGTTTCAACAGGTTTAAGGAGAATTATGAGCGTCACATTATTGCTGGAACTGACAAAAAGGCCTCTGATAGAGAACAGAGAATAGGCTCAACAGTAGCAAAGGTGAGGATTTGATTCGAACATGCCTCAGTGGCTATTATATTTCAGATAGTAGCTGAAGAATTTTTCATTGTGTTTTGAACTTCAATTCTTCCTCTTATATTAGCATGCCTTGTTAAATCTTAGCTCTTTTCTGTGATCACTTAACATTGTTTCCTATTAGGCAGCAAATGAAATGTCTTCAGTGCTAGTATCTGTCTACAAGTTCTTAGCATGATTCAATTATACATGAAATATAGCAAGAATTGAAGTTATAATTTCTCACGTATCAACCTTAGAGTCTTGAACTCTTTTATGAGATTGCATTGTTTGTGTGATATTGCTATCGAACAGCTGAGGTATGAGTACACAAGCTAAGTTCCTCCGAAAGAAGAAAATAATCTATCAATTCGCTTATGACTTAGGCTGCCACAGTCTGTAGGTTGTAGATCTTACAAATAAATTTACTTTGTTCACCTCTTTTTTGATTAATAGAACTTGAGGGAGCATATTCAACCTTTCTTCTTGCGGCGCCTTAAGAGTGAAGTCTTTGGTGATGATGCCACATCCTCCAAACTTTCAAAGAAGGAAGAAATTGTTGTATGGCTACGGTTAACAGCTTGCCAGGTTTAACTCCCATGCAGTCTTTGGTCTAATAATATTTCCAATCATAGAGAGACTTACTGATACTTGTTTGTGTTGCAGAGGCAAATATATGAGGCTTTCTTAAAGAGTGAAATTGTTCTGTCAGCGTTTGATGGTTCGCCTCTAGCAGCACTTACGGTAACTTGAAGCTCTATTCGTGTTTTTTCTTGGTTTGATTAAATATGTGATCTATGTCTTGTCTTACCCAGTAAGTTCATTACATAAACGTGGTCGAAAAATTGAAATCTTTATCCACTTTTCTTAGTTCTCTTAGGCCATATGTTACTTGGTGAAAGTGGTTTCCATTTCCCCATTTATAAACGCTTCAAATATATATTCCCTGTCTGTTCACGAAAATTAGCTTAGCTAAAATCTGGGAGCTTATACATTGTTATAAACAGATTCTGAAGAAAATATGTGACCATCCGCTTCTCTTGACTAAGAGGGCTGCTGAGGACGTACTCGAAGGAATGGAATCAACATTGACACAAGAAGAAGCAGGCGTGGCAGAGAGATTGGCTATGCATATTGCAGACAATGTGGATACAGATGACTTCCAGACCAAGAATGACAGTATCTCTTGCAAACTGACATTCATCATGTCCCTACTGGTTAGATCACATTTATGGTTCAATTAGTGACATTCATTTTGATGTTCGTCTGTCTGTTTGACTGACATTTTTTTTTCTACATTGTTGCCAGGAAAATTTGATCCCAGAAGGGCACCGTGTTCTAATCTTCTCCCAGACACGGAAGATGCTAAATCTCATTCAGGTCTGCTGCCAACTTTACCCTCAACGGTTATCCTTGAAATTTTATTGATTCTTTACAAGTTACGCTTGGCATTTTCAGGATTCTCTTACTTCCAACGGTTATAGTTTTTTGCGTATTGATGGTACAACAAAAGGCCCTGACAGATTAAAGACTGTTGAAGTGAGTTTTTCTTCTTCTTCTTCTCATCATGAGTTAGTTACTCTTTCTTGTCTTCATGCCATCACAGTTCTTTTAAACCTTAATTTATTCCAGGAATTTCAAAGTGGTCATGTGGCGCCTATATTTCTTCTCACATCCCAAGTTGGTGGTCTCGGCCTTACTTTGACAAAGGCAGACCGTGTGATTGTAGTTGACCCAGCTTGGAATCCAAGGTACTTCCTTCTTTTGAAAACTGTTGATATTTTTACTCTAATTGAGAATATGTTCATGACATGATATTCTGATTTCTATACAGTACTGACAACCAGAGCGTAGATCGAGCATACAGAATTGGGCAAACCAAGGATGTCGTAGTGTATAGGTTAATGACCTCAGCAACTGTTGAAGAAAAGATATACAGAAAGCAGGTCTGCTAGATTTTTTGCTTTTTGGTTATTGCAATCGCTGAGTGATTTGATATGATATAATGCCATTGGTGTTTGCTTTTGTAGGTGTACAAGGGAGGCTTGTTTAAAACAGCGACTGAGCATAAAGAACAAATCCGCTACTTCAGCCAACAGGTTTACTCGCCGTTCTGCTGTCAATGGTGTTCTAATTGTTATCCTATTTTCTAATCTTTTTACCAATTTTTTTTTTTAATCTCAGGACCTTCGAGAGCTTTTCAGTCTTCCTAAGGGAGGCTTTGATATCTCACCTACACAGCAGCAACTATACGAAGAGCATTACAACCAGATCAAACTGTAAGCAAATCACTGATTCTGATCCCAAAAAAAAGAAAAGAAAGTGTCCTGACTTTGATTCTTATGTTTGTTTGTTTCTGTAGAGATGAAACTCTGGAAGCCCATATTAAGTTCCTGGAAACTCTCGGTATAGCTGGAGTGAGTCATCACAGCTTACTCTTCTCCAAGACTGCTCCAGTACAACCTATACAACCAGAAGAGATAGAAGAAATAAGGTGAAACTTCTCTTTTCTTTAATTCATAAAACAGACTTTCCTTCATCTTTCACATATCTTGATTATGCTTATTTCGTAAACATTTGATGCAAATAAAAGGAGAGGAACAGCAACATCATACTGGGGAGGTCCATCAGCAAGCTCTTCACAGGACAACATGATCAATGGGTATTATTACCATCCACAACCTTTTGTTAAACTGAACTGTTGCGTTTTTGTATAATCTCTCATCGATTTAAAAAAAAAAAAAAAACCGGTTTGTGTCAGGGCTGAGTATGCTTTCAAACCAAAGGACGTGAAAGTGGACAAGAGAATCAACATTTCACCAATCGATGCCAGTGAAATGTCGGAAAGTGAGATTAAAGCAAGAATCAGTAGACTATCTATGCTATTCCAGAACAAGGTAAAGAGTAAAGACATGAACCAACACTTGTAACATCTAGTAAAAGCTTCAAGGTTTCTCTAAATCTCTGTATTTGGGTTTCATATGTCATCATCACAGAGTATGGTCGCAAGTTTACCTGATAGAGGAGCCAAAATACAGAAACAGATTGCTGAATTGAATCGAGAGCTCCAAGAAATGAAGGCATCACAAAGCAACGATATGCCTCATCAAGTTATTGACTTGGAGGATATAAGCCAGAAGATGCACAAAGGATTGAATCTGTAGTGTAAGATTCAAAACAATGCGATGACCAACGTACGCTTTATTGCTATTTTTTGCTACTCAACAGATCTTTGATTTGTTGAGTTCATGAGTTGACAAGTCAATTACCAAATGACTTGTTGCTCAAGCTATAACGGCTATTGATATTTCTCGGGGTGTGTTAAACCTTTTTATTTGTCACGCACCATTTTTTTTTTTTTCTAGCTCAAACAAAGAAGAGAGGCCAATCCGTAAAATGATTATTTCTTCTAAAACAATAATATCAGTTCAAACTAACTCAGCTGGTCTAAAAATTAAAAACTCAAACCAAAAGCTGAAAATCAAAAATAGAAACTTAAAAAATAAAAACCAAAATCTAAAACAAAATCTAAAAATAAAAACTGAAACTAAAAACTAATGAATAACAATCATCACCACAAATTTTAGTGAACTGATTTTATCCCAAAACTTTCTTTAAATTAAGATAAAACCCAATTACATAAATTTTTAATCATAAATTAATACAGTATTTAACGATGATTATTTGATGGGCAATTCTATTAAATAGCCATTTTTAAGTTTTTATCACAAAAATAGACCTCGAATATTAAAATGACTAAAATAACACTTTTTATTTTGAAAATTTTAAGTTTTTTTTTTTTAAAAAAAAAATTTGAACCTATCCCCAAAATTCTACTCTTCAATCCTAAACAAAAAAAGTCTCGGATTAAATAACTCAATGAGTATAAATATATATTTAATAAAACATTTAAGTGTTATTTTGGTTATTTTAATTGAAAGTCTATATTTGTGACAAAAACTTTTAGGTTTATTCTATTCTAGTTATTTTCTTATTTTATTCTAGTCATTTTCTCTTATTTGATTTTGATCTATACAGAAGTTCTGTGATAGTTTTTTTTTGGGATCCTAGGGGTTGGTGTAATAGGGCTTTATTAAACCTTAACTCCTAAATACAATTTAAAAGTAAACCAAAATTACAATTTATATCCATACCGAATTTTAAACCGAACCGGAACGTGGAACAGAAGTGGAGACTGGAGAGAACGTCGTCATCAATACACAAAGAAAAACACTCGAAAACGTTTTCTACACAAACACAGAAAACAAAGAACACAAACTCAAATACTCTGGCCTCTCTACAAGAGCTCTTTACTCTTTCTAAACTGATCGCATTCTTGAAAACCTTAGAAAAATCCATTACAATTTACACACAACTTGCATCCTCAAAACAAAGCTAAAATCTACTTAAAACTATTATTATTATTAGTTGAAGCTGAAGCTAGCAGTGCGGCTCCATCTCCCTTTCAAGTAGTCCTCAACGGAGATACTACTAGCTTCAGGACTACTGTCAGAAGCAGCATCATCTTCCAAATCAAGTAAGGCAAGGTTTATGTGTGATTCTATGTTTGTCAAGTACGCCGTTGCATCTTCTGAGGCTCTTACTTGTTGTTTTCCCCATTCCGTTGCATCTTCCTCTCCTTGTAATATCTTTACCACCTGTGAATTAATGAATTAAACAGATCAGTTAGAAGCAAAGAAGTAGAGATCAAGCAGATAATAGATGTATATATTGAGCTTACGAGTCCCATTTGTGGACGGTCCTGAGGAGAGCGTTTAATGCATAGCGTGGCAGCTAACAATAGTTTCTCGATTAGATCGTTACTGCTATCATCAGCTTCTAGACTTGGATCTAGTAATTGAGCAAACTTCCCACTCTCTAGAATTGGATTTGCCTGGGAAAGAGACGCAGTTTAGTCATTTCAGTGAGTAATATTACTTGGAAAAATGTGGAAGTTATGGACACTTATGCTTACCCACATGACAAGGCTCTCCTGGCCTTTAGATTGGTCAACGCAAATCGGTTTTCTACCAGATAGGAGCTCAAGCAATACAACACCAAACGCATAGACATCAATCTTGTCGGTTACTTTACCGTGCAAGAAGTACTCTGGTGCTAGGTAACTGTAAAAAAAGAACAAGAAAGTTTAATGAGAATATTTGATGGAGTGATGATGGTTGTCAGGGAAGGACTAAATATGCAAATAAAATACCCAAATGTTCCTGCAATATCCCCACATGACACATGCTGTGCAGCACTTGAAGCCAGGCTGGCAAATCCGAAATCTGAGAGCTGAGTGCCAGTAAATAATTTCAGTGTCAATCACAAAAAAAAACACAATCAGGTAGGCATCAAACATTGCATCTGTGAATTAACTTAGATTTAGATTGAAATGTAGCAGTACCTGTGGCTCAAAATCATCTGCCAGAAGAACATTAGAAGATTTCACATCCCTGTGAATAACTTCTGGATCATGAGTATTATGTAGATAGTCTAACGCCTCTGCAACACCCACTGCCACTTTGTATCTCTCCAGCCAGCCAAAACTGGCGGCATCTTTTCTATTACCTGAATCAAGAAAAGAGAACAATCAAGATTAGATATTTCTCTGGTAAAGATTGAATGAGAATCCAGAGGGGATTTCAAATGCAGTTTATATACCATGAAGGTTTTCTTCAAGGCTGCCTCGTGGAACGTAGTCGTACACCAGCATCAAATTATTGTTCTCAAAACAGAAACCAAAGAGTGACACTATATTCTTGTGATGCACACTTGTAATGACTTCAATTTCCAGTATAAACTCTTTCAACACATCCAGACAAGGCTTCAGTACTTTGACAGCTAGTTCCCTCCCATCTGATAGGTCTCCTCTATATACGTAGCTATTACCACCTTCTCCAATCAAGTTATCTAGAAACAGAAGAAATAAGAAAAGGCTGAATATCAAGTCAGACCAAAACCAAACCCATGTTATAACAAAGAAAGGGTCATACCGGATGCAAAGTTTGAGGTCATTGACACAACTTCCTCGTACGTGAATAATCTACATGTGGAAGAGTATTTTTCATGTAGACCCTCCAGCTCCTCCGGAATATTGTTTGATCCAAGGCAAGGAGAAAGAGGAGACACCATATGCTCAGAACCAGACCGTGAAACGGAGACATCTTCACCATCTATGCTAGAAGAGTAATCTTCATCACAACCAGAATCACTCCGTTTCCTGTCAAGATACGCTACAGCTTCTGAATTCCGACCACGCAGCCTCGAAACCCATTGAAGTACAGCCCTCTTAGCAGAAACTCTGGTCCAGCTACTTCGTTTACTGTAAATCCCCCGGAAGAAATGCCAACCTGGTCCTGACTCAGGATCAGTCTCGCTTGCTTGTACTGGCACTAAAGCCAATGAATTGTCTACACCTGAGCTTTCAGTAGACTGTAATGATGAAGTGCGACTAGGTCTAGTCCAGCGTGAGCTCGTTCTTGCAGGACTAAGGCTGCTTCCAATCTTTGCCGCTTCAATAGCAATGTTGGGTGATCCACAGGGAACATTCACGTGTGGTCCATCTACACATTCAAGGCAACAAAACTTTCTTTCATAAAATGTATGATACATCTAACAGTAGAACAAACCAACCCTTTAACATACCATTGTTATTAGACACCCTGCGGAACATAATCTTGCCACTCTTAACAGCAAAAACTGAAACATCCTTAGCAAGATTCCTAGCACAATACTTAGCCAAGGAAGCTGATGAACGGATGGTATGATGTCTCTTAGAAGAACCCACAATCAAACTTGTTGCTCCGGAAGATTTCACTTCCTGTACAAGAACTTTCCTAGCTGACTTCCCTCTGAAAACCTTTAACTTCAAGTCTACCTGTTGAAGACACCCATCGAATTTCAGTAATCTCATCCTAAAAATCCCCATTCTAGTAAATAGATAAAGCATTCACTTAAAATGTTACTATATGATACTTCTGGTGTTAAGATGTTAAAAGATTATGTGTAATTGTAACTATATGATACTTCTCGTGTTAAGATGTTAAAAGATTATGTGTAATTGTAACTATATGATACTTCTCGTGTGAAAATAGGTCGTTACCCCCAAAAAAGTTACAAACAAACTTGTATGCTTTAAGTTGCATAAGCTTTCATAGACACCAAACATCTTGAAAATGTTAGGTTGTTAACCCAAAATGTTTCTATATGATACTTCCTGGTGTCATAATTGTTGAAAGATTGTGTACAATTGTTACGATATAATACTTCTGGTGTGGAAACATGTCGTCAAAATGTTAATATGATACTTTTGGTGTCATAATTCTTGAAAGATTGTGTACAATTGTTACGATATAATACTTCTGGTGTGGAAACAGGTCGTTAACCCCAAAATGTTAATATGATACTTTTGGTGTTACAATTTTGAAATATTGTGTGCATATACGATACTTCTGGTGTGGAAATAGCATAGTTAACCCCAAAATATTACAAAAACCAAACTTGCCTGTTTTAAGTTGCAGAAGCTTTCATAGACACCAAGCATAGTGTCAAAACTCCTAACCAACGAAACAAGCGACGTTGAGCCTCCTTCTACACACAACAAACAAACAAAAAAAAACACATTAATTAAAAAAGAAAAAAAAACACAAAATAAAACAAAAGATCTAAAAAAAAAAACCAAACCGAGAGAGTAGTCGAGAACGTGAAGAGCAACGATTCGATCTCCAGGACGAGCTACATTCACTAACGACCACGTAAGCACCTCTCTGCTCCATTCGTCTGGCTTCACACCGATTATTACCAACGCCGAACCTTCCGACACCGTCGTCGTCACCTGTTCCTCTCCTCCTGTAGGTGTCGTCATCTGAGCAAAAGCGATTCACTCACACACACACAGACACTCTCTCTAAGTAGCGATTACAAATCTCTATTGTGTGTGTGTTTTGTCGTTTTGCAGTTGGGGCAAAGAGGAGAGAGCGAATCACGTTAACTGTCTCCGGGAGAAAAGTGAGAGAGAGGGCATGTTTTGTGTTCTCTTGTTTGAATGAATCTCAGCCGTTGATTTACCCCCTCATGATCCGATCATGATTTTTAATTATTATAACAAAAAAAAAAAGTAATTAATTAAACATGAGCGAATAATAATGAAGGGATTAATGGACAACGATATATCATTCATTCTTTCTTTAACCCCAGGACCCAAGAATATCTCCTCTATATATTTTCTTCCCCACTTTTTTTTTTTAATTTTTTCTTAGCTTTTTGATTTTTATTTGTTTCTAGTCATCAGTATTTTCATTAAATGTCATTATCATACATGTCTTATCATTCAAATATTCATGCATGTTTTATATTGGTATATTCAGTCAAGTATGTAGTTTAGCCACGCATTCATTTTTCTTTATTTCTGAATAAAAATTCAGCTAAAAAGTAGAGGATATGAATAGATCCGTCCGTGAAGGACCAAAAATGTCTTTGTTATATATGGTTTGATTTGATTTTGCTTTGTATTTTTTCACCCAAACAGTTTGGTAGGTATGGTCAAATCAAGTGAAATTTATTTCTATGTAGCTGATATTGAATAAAAAAAAAAAGGCATTTTTAGAAAAAAAAATATATTGGAGAAATGTTAACTTTGTGATTAAAGTTTACTTGGATGGGTTTTAGACGGTGAAAAGGTTTGGACTACCTACCACACGAGTTCGGTTTGTGGTAATCAGATGTTAATCATGGTAATATATTTCAACATATTTAACATTGGGATTTGGAAACGGCAAAGCAAAAACAGAAACTCACATCATTCCTTGGATTATGTTTTTAAAGCATCACTAGTTAATTATTACTTTCTCTGTTTCAATTTAATTATCATTCAAGGTTTTTATACATATATTAAGAAAATAATTAATTTTTCATATTTTCAAAATAAAAACATAATTACTTATACACCTAACCATTTTTTAATCAATGAAAAAATAGAAAAATATTTAAAATCAATAAATTTTATATTGAAATTATAAAATGATATTTGGAGCGAAAATTTTATTCTAGATTGACATAATTTGAAACTGAGGGGGTACTAACTTACACTAGTTGTTACCAATCATGTAAAAGTGAATCACTGATGGAGTTCGGTAAAAAAATATACTGCATATCAGCCTTCCACTAAAGATATCGCACTGGTTGTTTGATTATTAATCAAGAGACGAATCCTAAATCTTCTTTGTTTTCTTTCTTTCTGACGTGACGATGACGAATCCTATGTCTAAACAGTACACGTTTGGCCATTTGTTAATGTTGAAGTTAGGGTGTGATTGAAAATACATGTCGTTACATTACCATCGTGAATTAAATCCACGGGTTGTAAAAGTAATAAATCTAAGCTGCTTAGTATCGCTACAACTTTATTTTGAAATAAGAAATGAACCTTTCATAAGTCTGACTCGAATCTTTGATTTAGAATCATATCCCTCGAAGGTGAAGAAGACCACGATGAGATTATATTAAACAAACAAATAAAAGAAAATGGATCCATATTAACTCACTACAAAATATATAAAAAACATTAGAGATTAGATATAATCTGGTGGGCACGATTTAGTATAGCACGTGAAATTTTATATTTTGAGAAATCCAGCTAACCGGGATCGACGCACATCATGATTTCCAGAGCAAAAGTGGCAGTTAATTATTACTACTGTAGTGGTCATTAAATAAAAGAAACTGGTAGTGTTTATAAGAAGTAAACCGACAAGTTTCGTAGTATTAGTTATGAGCAAAAGCAGCCGCTAATTATGATGGTAGTGGTCATTAAACAACAAAAACTACAAAACCTAATCACTTGGAAAAACAATATATAATTCATAAGTACATTGTTAAATTTCGTATTAAATTGTGAACAAGAGTGGCCGCTAACTATAATTGTAGTTGTCATTACATAAAATAAATAATAAACCTAACAACTTAAGAAAAATCATGTATAATTCACTAGTACATCCATAACTTTAGTATTAAACTATGTTTAAAGTTCATCCAATTAAATGGTGTTGACCAAAGACTGAAATCCATTGTTAGTACATAGAACTATATAAGTATTTTATTACTCGATTAACAATTTACATAGTAGGAAAATATATATTTGTTTAAAGAACGTTGGTCTAATAAAGACAACTGTAAATATGTTCTTACCGTTTAAGTCCATGGATGATTGTCGGATTCACACTGAATTATAGAAAGTAAAGTAGCTTACTAGAAAAGTTACCGTTAGTGTTAAGGATAGGCAAAATGTAAAGGATCACCATATGAGAAAGCACCTTCTCCACCGCCTCTTTGGCCGTCTCTATTTCCAAGGCCACGAGCATCGCTCACTATGTAGAACCTTTTCTCTCATTCCCAGTACCATTGCTGATGCTATCGTCCCATCTCTATTACAAGCATTACACATCACAACTTTTAACATAATCTATCTATAAACACAAGTGAGTTCTTTTCTGTAATCTTACATTGACAACTCTTATTAAACAGAAAATACCAAACTATATAAAAGCTGATAGAGCATAGAATACTAATCATGCGAAATTGGTGCTCGAAAAACTAGAATAGGAAATTAACATGATATGTGTAACAAATAAAGAATGAGCAAAGGTGGTAGCGTTATTTGTTAATAAATAAAGAAAAGCTACAAAACTATATGAGATGTGCAACAAAAAAACATGTCATCATTATCATGTTCTTGTTAGTACTAGAAAAAAAAAATCAGAATATCTTGAAAATTGAGAAATCTGGTTTTCTGACGACAATTTGCGGAGAACAAAATAATTAAAATGGTTCTCTTTTAGTTTCACCTACTAATAAGTAGTATAGTTGAAAATAATTTTTATTGTTTCAAAATAAATATTATTTTTGGTTTTTAATACAAAATTTATTTATCCTATACTGTAATTTATTTTATATTAATTGAAATATGGTTAAATGTATAGGTAATTGTATATTTATACAGAAAATAAGTAAAATCAACTGTGTTCACAAAATTTAAATGACACTTGATATGAAATAGAGGGAATAATAGAATCCTATACACAAGTAATGATAATCTAATTAACTAATAAAATTCTCTCAACTATTAGTATATCAAATTCCACAAGTTCCAATAACCCGGCCCTTAAGTATACACTGTTTGCTACATTTAAATGGGCCGGCCCATACACTCTTTTTATTGTAGGCCCAACTAACTAACAGCAATTAAAATTATAATTCCATTATACAATATGGTTTATAGACTATAGTTTAGGCGAATAATTCAGAATCGGTAAGAGAGAGAGAGACAAAGTAAAAAAATGAATCTCTCTCCGATAACAATCTCCCTTCTCCTCACCCTCCTCTCGCCGTCTCTTCTCTCCATCTCCGGCGTTTCCGTTGAGGACGAATCTCATCCCACCGTATGCATCATCGGAAGCGGGATCGGAGGCTCATCCGTCGCTCACTTCCTCCGTAACTACTCCACATCCACCGCCTTGTCTCGATCCCGTATCCTCATGTTCGAGCGTCACGAGAGAGTCGGCGGACGCATGAGGACCGTAACCGTCTCCGGCGATACGTTCGAAGCCGGCGGCTCGATCCTCCACCCGAAAAACTACCACGCAAGGGACTTCGTGGAGAGGTTCAATCTGACGGTTCGGTTACCGTCGGCGATCGAGGAGTCATCGGCCGTGGGAATCTGGGATGGGAAGAGATTCGTGTTCAAGACGTTTGGTGCGAGTGTTAAGATTCCGTTTGTGGATAAGATCGTCTCTTGGATGAATGATGTGTACTTGTTTGTTCGTTATGGATTCTCGCTGTTGAGAATGAGTAGTTTCGTTGAGGTAAATCGAAGGGAAATGATTGTTTTAGTGACTCAGGTTTTGGCTTTGCTCAAAAAAAAAGTTAGGTGATAATTAGGAGTTTATAATGTGGATTATTGATTAGGCAGACGTCTAGACCGTTTTTTAAAGAATTTTTTTTCTAAAAAATTCTTAGCTTAGACCATCTCCATTGAAGGATTCTTACGACGGGTTTATTAAGGGAATATAAGAACCCCCGCCGTAAGAACTCCTCAATGGAGGTGCTCTTTAGGTTTGATTTGCCGCCTAAACAGACTTTTAGAACACTAGACCGTGTTTTAGCCATTTTTCAAAAGAAATGTTCACTTAGGTCTGATTTGCTGCTTAAACCGATTTTTAGAACACTAGACCATTTTTCAAAAAAAGTTGTTCGCTTAGGTCTGATTTTTTTAACCATGTTTCAAAAGAAAGTTTTCGCTTAGGTCTGATTTGCCGCCTAAACTGATTTTTAAAACCATTTTTCAAAAGAAATTGTTAGCTTAGGTCTGATTTACAGCCTAAACCGATTTTTAGAACACTAGACCGTTTTTTAACCAATTTTCAAAAAAACAATTGTTCACTTAGGTCTGATTTGCTGCCTAAACCGATTTTTCGAACACTAGACCTTTTTTAACCATTTTTCACAAAAATGTTCGCTTAGATCTGATTTGCCACCTAAACCGATTTTTAGAACACTGGACCATTTAAAAAAAAAATGTTTGCTTAGGTCTGATTTGCTGTCTAAACCGATTTTTTAGAACACTATACTTTTTTTTAACCAATTTTTTTAAAAAATTGTTTGCTTAGGTCTGATTTGCCGCCTAAACCGATTTTTAGAACACCAGACCGTTTTTAACCATCTTAAAGAAAAAATGTTTGCTTGCGTCTGATTTGCGGCCTAAACTGATTTTTAGAACACTGGTGTTAAATGATGGTACATTTGTGGATGTAGAATACAGTTGATAACTTCTTGAAGTACTATGAAAGCCTAGAAACGAGACCTGTCTTCGACAGTGTTGAAGGGATGCTTAAATGGTCAGGCTTGTACAATCTCACTAAGGTCACTCTGGAGGAGAAGTTATCTGAAGTTCAGCTATCTACTTTATTAGTCAACGAGCTTGTTACTGTAAGTTTTTTCACCTTTTCAGCTTAAAAGTATTCTCCTGAAGGCAAAGAAGAAATACATTTGACAAAAGTTCTAAAATTTTTGCAGGTTATTACAAGGATAAACTATGGGCAGAGTGTACTTATCAGTGGACTAGCAGGTGCAGTCTCTTTGGCTGGTTCAGGTGGAGGTTTATGGTCTGTTGAAGGTGGGAACTGGCAGATGGCTGCGAAGCTTATTAATCATTCAGATGTTACCTTACACCTGAACGAAGAAATCAAATCCGTTTCACACATTGGTAGCTACTACGAGCTCAAGTCCACAAAAGGAAACAGCTTCAAATGTGATGTCACTGTAGTTTCCACACCATTAGACGAGGTTGATATTCAGTTCTCACCTGCCATCACAATTCCCAAAAGGGAGTTACAGCATACACACGCAACATTCGTGAGGGGACTTTTAAACCCTGTAAGTGTCAATCTCTGTTGAGTTGTGATGATGATGATTTTTTTTGCCTAGACAACTGATTATTGATGTTTTGCTTCTGAATAAAGGGATATTTTGGGATGAAATCGGTTTCGGATGTTCCAGCTTTGGTGGGAACTCTTGAAGATCCTCTAATTCCATTCTCAAGCATCTCCATACTTAGGAAGTATAGTGCAACAGATATGACGTACAAGATATTCACGCGGCAAGCAGCATCAGATTCATTGCTTGATGAGCTCTTCAGGTAAGTTACAACACAACCCAAGTCAGATTCATTACTAACTTAGATTTCTTCAGTTTTATTTAAACATTGCTTCTCTTTTTTTCCTTCCTGAAACAGTGTGAGAACCGAAACTGTTTGGATAGACTGGGGTGCATATCCAAAGTACCACGCCCCTGAAGTTTTCGCACCGTTCATATTAGATGATCATCATTTGTACTATGTGAATACTTTTGAAAACGCGGCTAGCACAATGGAGACAAGTGCAGTGTCTGGTGAAAATATGGCTAGACTCATAGTTTCCAGATTCAGGACAACAAAGGAATCATCATCATCACCTTACTTGGACACCACAAGAAGCTGTAATTCTGGTCTGCACTCAAACGTGTGAACAAACTTATTGGATCCGCATGAACAAGGTTTTTGACTGTACTCTTTGAAGAATAATATGTTTTGATGTATATAAAGAAAGACCATAAATCTGTAAAAAAACTGTAACGTATGCATTGTTTGTTTTCAGTTTTTGATTCAGACCATTATCATGAAGATTGTAAGAGTTATGAAAACAGAAAAGATGATGGATAGGAACAAGGTGTTTGATTTAGTTGAGACTTACATTTAGTTAAAGCTCAAAGATACTCAAACGTATATGTTTTGTTAGCTACACACTATATATCACACACAGTCAATATCTATACATCACAGAAAGTTAACAGCATATGTTCCACCTCCTATTCACTCTTCTCTTCCCTTCAGAAACTTTTGGCACATAACAGTACCAAGAAAATCAAACAACCCATGTTTCAGAAGCTCCAACCTCTCAGAACTTTCCATAACCGAGAACCCAAACAGCCGAGTCCAAGTGTTCACATCCTCTGCCAAAGCCGGTAAGACCAATCTACAAACTCCCATTTCAGACAATCGCTTCTCCAACTCATCCATAACTACTCTACACATCTCACTTTTACTATCATCAGACTCTGTAGTCAGTGTCGCCACCAAAGGGATCTCAGCTACATCTTTGCCAACTCTCACTGCCCCCACAGTGATAAGCTCACTGTTCCTCTCAACCGAAACAGTGTAAAACCTGCGTCCCACGCCATCTGAATCTCTGCTGAACATCAATTCCTCAACAAGATCTCTCCCAGAGAAACGCTCTGGTGTAGCCTTAAACGACTTACGAAGCATCTCAACAGCGTCATTAGGAGCTCTCATCAAACACCACACCAAACCCTCGTCTTCCTCTCCTACTTCAATCTTAGTTCCCTGGAGTTTCTCAAGCGCCGAAAAAACTCTTCTGCATTGTGCACTACAAAACCATGGAAAATAAATAAAACTCTGTGGTGGCTCCAGACAATTTCGATGCCATCTTCTACTGCATTGCTCACAAGTCAACAACGCGCTGCCACCTGGCGTTCTCCTTTGATTACAAATCTTGCAGCAGCAGCAAGGACAGAAGAACCATTCCTGTTCATCGAGAGCAATCCACGACAAACCAGAGCAATCATAGTGAAATGCTGAAGGACAACCATTGCATCGAAGCAAATCTCCACCACCACGTAGATGACAAACACAACACACATCACAATTCGTCTTAAGCGATTTCCCAAACCTTGGCCGTGAAGTTACCTCATCGTCGCTACTTATAATCTCATTAAACGGTGGCGTATCACAAACCTTCACTCTCTTCTTCTTCTTCTTCTTCCTTAGCCTTAGCTCAGCCTCATCGTTGTCTTCGCTACTAGACTCATCATCAGCCTCCTCTTGTTGGTTTATCTTGTTCTTGTTCCCATCATCACAAACTTGCGGTTCTTGGTTGACCACATCTTGTTCTTGACACGAGTCGTAGTCTTCATCTTCGAGACAAGCTTCACAAGCTGTGACTAAAGAGTAAAACCACTTACCCTCTGGAGATATGTAGCGCATCTCTCGTGACGACCTCCCTTTGTGAACGTAAGCGAAACGCCAACCAAGAGAAGAGAGATGCTTCTTCGCCTTGGACGAGAAAAGTTGAAATCCTTTCGTCGTCGTCTTTCCTTCTTCTACAATGGACAGCCATTTACGTAGTGATTCTGGGTTCCTTTCGGCTTCTAGAGTGATGAAGTCACATGAATGATCATCCATCTTCTTGGAATCTTTCCAAGAACGTTTACGTATGTATGATAGAGCTTTTTCTTTATTTCAATATATGTTGGGGTTTATTTGTTTACTTTTTCACTTCATTTGTTTTTGCATGAGATATATATGTAACGTTTCTTTGGCATGTTTTTTTTTCTTTCTTTTTGCATTTTGCATTTTTTTCATGTGTTTTCCGCCAATATATAATACATACTAGGTGACTGGCCCGCACCCTGTGCGGGCATATAATATCTAAAATAATAAAATTAAGTGACTGGTTCGCATGTGCGGGCATATAATATCTAAAATAATGAAAATTATAGTGTTTATATTTAGAAGTTGTGAGAGAAAAAAAGTCACTGTGTTTAGTGATTCCATGCGATGGAGTGGGTTTCCACAGCCACCGTCGATCCGGCTTTAGATTGTCCTTGGTTTTATTTCTCGTTTATAGATCTTTAGTAGAGAAGGTTTGGTGTATCTCTTGTTTTGGTTTCAACAAGGTGATGTTTTTATTTTGGGAGGCGGAAGTTTATACAGATCCGTCGAAGAGTGTATCTACATTAGAGTTTTCTCAATTTTGGGTTTTCGGCCCCATGTCGATTTTTATTGTAATGTCCTTTTGTTATGGGTTTTGGTGATTGTGTATCTTGGGATTTGATCCTTTATTAATCAAATTAAGATGGAAATTTTTTTTTAGAAGTTGTGTATCCTACTATATTGTCAATAAGTGAAATTGTGTTGTATATAAGTCTTTTATTTAGAAGTTAACTAAAAGTTGTTGGTATATCTCATTTGTCCTTAACTTTGTTTGTTTTGCAAATATTTTGCCCTGAACCACATGTAACAATTCATTATAGATTGTTTAATTAAATTGTATTTCAAAATATACAGAAAGAGATAGTAGGATAATATAGTTTCTTTCAACTATTTATTAGGTGTTAATCAAAAATTAATTGCAAGAGATATAATGTTATTTTCTTTGAGAAAATGAATAATAATTAAAGCCAATAAAATAAGAAACAAAATTCAAGAAATAACAGTAAGTGAATTGGTGTTCAACAAAAAAAAAAGAATAGATTCTTCTTCCATTTCTCCAGCTTCACTTGCTTTTGATTTTTTTAGAGTGTTTTTTGTTGACAGAGAACTGATCCTCATCAGCATTGTCTCGAGCTCCTATTGACTTCTTTTTTAGACAAAAGAGTTGGTAAAAACCACAAGAACCCTTAGATATTTCCTTTTTAAATTGCAACAATAAAACCTTTTGAAGAGAAAAGAGATTTGAATTGAGATCTCTTGCCAATGTGGAAGTAAACATTTTAATATTAAACAATGTGAAATATGTGTAGGAGGTTTGGTGTATCTCTTTCTATAAATAATTTATAACATTTTATAACTTATTTTAAAATTCAGATAAATTTATTCATTAAAAACGCTAAATAATTTTAAAATAATATTAATAAATATGCTTGGATTTTGTAATATTTAAACTAGTTATTATATAATTATATTCAAATACAATTCATCAGTTAGAGTATAAAACTATTATAATTATCTTATATAAAATTTCCTTCATTATATTTTATAGTTTATAAATATTAAAAGTAATAAATAAAACATTATTAATCTTTCTATAATTTCAAGAATTAGTTTCCATAAATTGTTATTTGTAATATTCTTTAGATTATATGGCAAGTGATGTTAAATGATTTTAGACTTGTCTTAAATATTTAGATCTAAATTAAATAAATAAAAATTAAGAACAATCGACCAATCAAATTATAACAATTTCTTGAAACTTCACCTATGAACGACACGTCACCAGAAATCACTAAAGTGACTTCTCATTTAATATATAGGAGGATTTCTTGAAACTTCACCTATAAGCGACACGTCACCAGAAATCACTAAAGTGACTTCTCATTTAATATATAGGAGGATTTGAAGAGTCCCTTCATGCACGTAATAAAAAATCACTCATGTTGTTTCTCAATCAATATATAGTAGGTTTTATCTTTTATAAATAATTTATAACATTTTATAACTTATTTTAAAATTCAGATAAATTTATTCATTAAAAACGCTAAATAATATTAAAATAATATTAATAAATATGCTTGGATTTTGTAATATTTAAAATAGTTATTATATAATTATATTCAAATGCAATTCATCAGTTAGAGTATAAAACAATTATAATTATCTTATATAAAATTTCCTTCATTATATTTTATAGTTTATAAATATTAAAAGTAATAAATAAAACATTATTAATCTTTCTATAATTTCGAGAATTAGTTTCCATAAATTGTTATTTGTAATATTCTTTAGATTATATGGCAAGTGATGTTAAATGATTTTAGACTTACCTTAAATATTTAGATCTAAATTAAATAAATAAAAATTAAGA